CTTGGTTTCACATTCTACTGTTACAGGAAGAGTGGAAGTGGTCTTCGGTTTCCAGTTCACCTTACTCCAGCTGGTAGCAAAGTCCCTATGCGGCGGCTTTCAAATGAGATTTAACAATTCGGTTCCATTCCAATAAGGAAAACAACTAACTTTTTATAAGGTGAAACTGGTTCTCTCAAACTTCAGCTTGGTCAGATCATCTGCAGTTTGTCAAGTTTAAAGTTTTTGAACTGAAAAAGAGTTCTCACCAATGACATGAATCCAAGTTCAAAAAGGGAAAATTTATTGTCCTAAAGTGTATGTTTCATCTGAGGTCCATTTAGAACAAAATTACTCTAGCAAGTTTCCTGAGTCCCTGACAAGTTTTTCTTAAGTATTGCAGTTGCTGATTGAAAAAAAAAATAAGTGTTTGACAATTTTGTTCATTGTCAAAAATTTGATTATTTTTTCCCTTATCTCCTGTACCAAGGAAACTTGCTTAAGGTAAATGTAAATGTGGCTTAAAATGTGGCCCAAAGAAATTTCATCACTTAGCTGTACAGACAACGACAAATCTACCAAAGAGTGATAGGCATGTGGGCAGAGGGATCATTGCAGTTCAAAGCACCACTTATGCAGTTGGGAAAAGAAAGCCTTCCAGGATTCTAACCCTGACCTCTGCATTACCAGTGCAGTGCTCTAGTCAATCGAACTAGCGAGCCAACTGCGAGCTGTAAACTGGTTCATATACATTAAACTGGTTCACATATGAACCAATTTGATGACTTCCTCTTGTAACAATGTTACAGTGCATTCACCGACCACCTTTCCAAAATGTCCAATTTTCCCCAGTCAAAATTTGAATCTCTCGTAAACAACCACCTGCTTCAAGCAGTAAGCTTTGAACAGGCTCCTGCAGGAATGTAGTAAGAGGCATGGGACTCCACCCTCCCCTTCTGCTCACACTACATGTACCTTTCTCTTCACCCTATACCCCACAAGTGAGCCTGTTCACACAGTAGTGTAGTGACCGACAATTTTTTCTCTCTCAGGGTAAAACGTTATGTTGGAAACTCCTTTGTAAGTCGTGTAGATAAGGATGCTTACCAATGTAAGAATTAATGATACCTGTAGTTACATGCCATGGTTGTAATGTTAGACAATTTACAACTTTAACAATTTACGCTTTCTATATATAAATACTTGAATTCTTTCATTAGTGGTTAATCGGGACAAAAAGGAAAAAAAAAAGAAACCCTTTTGGTGCTAAGTCTAAGTTTTTTACAGTTGGTTATGGGGGCCTGTAATGTAGTGGTATGTTGTAGTTAGAAGCACTGAGTGTTTGACTCTCCTGTTATAATCATTGAAATTAAACTTCACTATTCAATTTTTTTTCCTGGGTTATCTATTATTGAAATTATCTACATGTATGTAATGCTTGGATACTGGATGACAAATAAGGATCATGTGATTGATGTAAAATCACTTGACTGGTCAGATCAAATGAATAATAACTTAGCACTGATTATTTTAACAAAGCAATAATATTTTTGTGTTTTCAAATAAACCTAACCTTTGTCACCAGGGACATAGTGGAGAGAGGTGGTTGGGAGAAGGGGTAACATGACCCAAATCCTGACTTCTGATTGGTCAAATGAACTTTCCTAATTTTTTGACTGCCATGAGACCAAAACTTCTGAAGATTTAGAAACAGTGGTATATGGTACAGAGTTTTTTCATGAAAGTTTCCCGAAAGTTTGAGAACCATTGAATTTCAGAAATGCAAACCATTTGACAGAAAATTCAAGAAACTTCAAGATCAAAGTTGAATGGAAAGAAAACTTCAAATTCAATGCTTTACTACTTCTTGAAAGTAAAAACTTTCAAACTTATTCTTTGGTTTGAATTTTGGTGTCATCATCTGAAAACAAAGAATAGGAATTTCAAGATTTGGCATAGAGAATATTTGACATGCAGAATGTTGGAATTTCGATATTTGAGAGGCAAACTACTGGTGCTGAAAATTCAAAATTTGGCAGGCAAAGCCATGACACCATCCTGCATAATACTAGGGTGAGCAAAATTGACAGAAGGTGCAATGCACAATTGCAGATAGTTTAATTTCTATTTATTTACAATTTCTAAATGATTTACAAGTCACACTGAAGAGGCAAAAATGAATAGTAACGATAAATATATAAAGTAGATCTTTCCAGCATTGGGTTGAAAAGTGCAGTGATTTGTTTTTGAAGATTCACTCAAGCCATTATTTTTTGGTTTCCCTGTGTGCATTTAGTAGAGTAGAATGTAAGGGGAGTCTAATCTACTGTAGATAGCTTGTTGAGATGTCACGCTAAAAGCACTATCAAGGGCACTAACCTGTGGCAGGTCCGAAAGGTGTAAACGTCAGTGGGAATGTCACTTCAGGACATTCCCCTGTGCGGAAAGGACTGAACAGGACTTCCAGTGCTCAATTTGTTGCTCCGTGATTTGTCAAGCTAATTTTTTTATTTGCGTGTGCCATTGTCACTGCTGTCACGTTGTCTTTGCTAAATCTGCCAAATGACAGGATTTGGCTGGATCTAGCTTTCAATAGCCCATAGAGACAAATTAGGAGGAAGACTGTCTGCTGCAACAGTCTGGACAGAAAGTACAAAAAATCGTTCTTTACTGAAGAGCACTATGTATGTCACTTCCCAAATACAGTTATGCAGCAGGTTTACAGGCTATCCAACCAGGAGGCCAGTGCACAGGCTTCTCAGGAGTAGGCCAGTAACTTACAGACTACAAGTCTGGGTAGCCTGTGCACAAAGTAAGACAGAAAAGCTCATGGTTTACAGTGCATTTAAATACTGAATATATTAACAAAAGATCATGCATTTAAAATGCTTTAAAATCACCAAATGTTGCATCTGTAACAGGAGCGTGCATGTCTTCTCTGATGGCACTGCGGTCACGGATTCTGGCCAGTAACAGAGAATGCTCCACCTGAAAACCAAGATGAAAATAGAGTCAACTGTAAGGTGCAGGTAAAATAGTTTTACAAATAGGCAAGGCAGCTGGATAGGAAATAATTCCATACCACTGTGTTATACCGGTATTTATCTAGTAGTCTAATCATGAACTTGAGAAATCTCCGGGTTGTGTTACCTCTGAAAACCCTTGGATATCTTTTGAATACTTTGGAACTCATTATTCCAAAAATTACATTTAAATGAGCTGAGAGCTGTTACCAGTACTTGATATTAGCAAACATTATTGCAAAAGCCAAATCTTTAGTGTGGTAACATCTTGACTTAGAACTTGCACGACACTCTAATGTATTTAAAATTAGGTGTTGATTAAATGTTTAAGAATACTACACATACCACTCCAATCCGAACATCCATCTGAGTAACCTCTTGTTTAAGTCTTGTTAAAGCTTGTTTTATTCTTACCAAAGGACCTGTCAAAAGACAAACAAAGAGAGATTTTTCAAACTTTACATGTAGCTCTTCCCATATGATCAAAGTGGAACCTGTAGATGTGTGATTTAAAGATCTTTTTTCATGGTTGTGTGGTATTCTACTTGTACATCTTAACCACTGATTTATCATACACCTACCTGCATCTGTCATGTTTGTTCCTCTTTCATCCATCTGAGCTTTTACAGTTTCAAGTTCTTCAGTGATCTACAAATTCGACCACACTTTATGTGAGTGTTTTTGTTAGTGCCACAAAACAAGAAAAGATAAAGAAATTTCTCTGGCCAATCACAAGACTCAAAGGCAATCAATAGTTCTAAACAATCAGAGCTTGACAGCAAATTTACCACATGGTTGAATCTGTGAGTGGGTAAGATAAAGAAAATCCTGTATTCTGATTGGCTTCTTGAGCAGGACTGCCTGCTTTGGTCCCACAAGAAGAAAAAAAAGTTTTCTTAACAAAACGACACATCCTTTATTGACCATGACCAAGCTCTTTAAGTTAAGATAGATGGAATGGATCTTGTTCTTTCCTCTTTTTGGCATTTTAATTGACCTTGACTTTGTCTTGGTCCAAAAATGCAATGTGGCCAAAATCCAGCCATCTCAAACTCACCCTTGGTCAAATAATTCACAGAATGATTAACTAGTGCCAAGAGCAAGAAAGTGTATGTAAGCAGGTCACTTGAGGTGGTGACTAAGTAATACCAACAAACCTGAGCCAATGTCTTTGTTAGTTCTGTTACTCCACCAGATCCTTGTTTGTAACGCTCTTTTGTCTGCAAAGAAGATCACATGTAAAACCCTCAAAGTAGTTTGAATTCGAAGGAAGTAAAATTACAAAGTAGTTCATTTAAGAGGCACGCAACACATGCAGTGTCATATCAGTATTGTATGTGTGTGGGAAGTTGAAGAAAACATTTCTTGGCAGAAAACTTTATTTATGAAATATTCCCTACCTCAGCTAGGGTATCTTGTAAACTTCGAAATTCTTGCAGCAAGTGTTCAAGCTGTAATAGAAAAAAAGTTCAAAACTGCGACCTTTGACTCCATTACACAACGAAAACCTCAAAATTTTATTTTGGAAAATACTGAGCAATAATAGGTACCATGCTTACATAGGTTATGTGCATATTATGTTAGAGGCTGTTAGAGGTTATTTTTATTGGGTATTGTGTTCAGGTCTGGACATTGTTTAATTTTTTTTCAATCTGCTGTGTTTTGTTATTTGGTAGCAATATTATTATTAATATGAACTTGATTCAAAATATCAGGCAACAAGGAAGAAATTTATAATTTACATGTTTATGGATACCAGATATGGAGTATATAAGATCACAGATGCATGTGATTTTTAATTTTATGCTGTATACAAAGTACACACTGTAAGTCAGTGACTGGTAAGTTAATAGAAATTAACATTGTAAATAAGAATTAAATACATTAAATACATTACTTTCAGTTACCTGGTTATTGATGTATTTTTCACGACTGCCTATTTTTTCAAGAGTTCTACTTATTTCATGGTGGAGCTTGTCTAAATGTCCCTGAAATGTAAAATGTAATAATCAGCCAGTCAATATTCAGCATATTTTAAGCAGACATTGTCCTATGAAAATTGACACTAAACGTCGAGAGTACATGGAAACAAAGACAATCTCTACTGAACTAAGGAAGTGACACAACAACGTAGACGAGTATTACACAGGAGGTCAGGAAAGTTTACATAAACAAACAGTCAACTCCAAAGACTATACACATAATCAGAACTACACCGACAAAATGTGTAAAACCTATTTACCATAATACCTACCTTGTTATCAGTTCTTATGTGAACTTTTAATAGTGGTAAAACTCTTTCCACTTCAAGTTTCCATTCTGCAGCATCTGTAGTTGACTCCATAACAGAATCAGGCTTTGATGAATCAGCAATATCCTAAACAAACATTTAAAATCACTGTTTTAGACACTTGTTTCCTCAGGACGCGTTATTCAGTCCCTCTTTAGTGATGTTTATTGTCAATAAGGCCTAACTGTATGGCAAGGAAATTATTCATACAGTACTGTGGTCTAAAGTTTTAGAAATTAACTCAAAAATCTTGTATATATAGATAAGACCAGCAAATCACAAAGGCTGGCTGACACAGAGCTTAATTTTCCTTCAGTTTTGTATTTACTATCAAATATTATTTACATTCATCTGAGACTGCTGTTTCATTCCAGCGAGATCAAGATAATTGTCATCTTCTTCAATTTCTTCATCTGCTTCATCCTTGAAGGGAAAATGCAACAGAACTAATCAAAAACAAAATATGGTATTAAACTTGCAGTGGTGGATTCAGACCTCCAGATAAGGGAGAGGGGGAGAGGGGGGGGAGGCGGTCATCCAGACCCTGGGATAAAGGGGAGGGGGGGGTGGTCTAGAAAAAAATTTTTTTACAGCCCTTTGGGCCTCAGTTTGGTCTAAAAATAAGGGGGGATTCTCCCCTGGATCCCCCACGGACTTATTCCAGTACACTGATACAGTTACTTTTTATACACATTAGAGAAAAACTGTATGACAGGGAGCACAAAAGTTCTTAATGAATACAACAAAAATCCAAGGCAGCTCAGCAGCTGCGTTTTTTAAGATATCCTTGTTGTCCAAATGCAATAGTAAGTTCCCAGGGGCAAGAAACAACAAAGAGGAATTTGAGCAGTTAGAACTAATCTCACCATCATCTCCTCTTCCACTTTGTTCAATGTTAGTTCAGCCTCATCGTCCTCCATGGTTTCCTCTTCAAAGTCTTCTTGAGCATGTTGAGGCCTTGAGAGGAGAACAAGTATAAATTTATCATTACAACTGAGTAAAACAACATGACACAGCAAAATAACATGAAGAACCAAACAGGCAAAACAAATGGAGACTTTTCTTCTAAACTGACTGGTTCAACAGTGGTTGCTGAAGGTCTTAGGTAACATTAAAAAAAACTATATGTGTTTTAATTCCAAAGCTAATTAAAGGCAACTTCCTGGAAATTACAAAAATAAATCCAGCCCAAGCAAAACTCAAGCAGTCCTTCACAATCGCTTAAAATACAAAAGTCACCAATCCACAAAATTAAACTCCCACCAAAAATTCTGTGCAACAAAGCTGACAACATTTACTCAAAGTTAACAGTAATGACTATATTCATATCACTGAAAACAAGACTTACTTTTGCCAANCAACTGAGTAAAACAACATGACACAGCAAAATAACATGAAGAACCAAACAGGCAAAACAAATGGAGACTTTTCTTCTAAACTGACTGGTTCAACAGTGGTTGCTGAAGGTCTTAGGTAACATTAAAAAAAACTATATGTGTTTTAATTCCAAAGCTAATTAAAGGCAACTTCCTGGAAATTACAAAAATAAATCCAGCCCAAGCAAAACTCAAGCAGTCCTTCACAATCGCTTAAAATACAAAAGTCACCAATCCACAAAATTAAACTCCCACCAAAAATTCTGTGCAACAAAGCTGACAACATTTACTCAAAGTTAACAGTAATGACTATATTCATATCACTGAAAACAAGACTTACTTTTGCCAAGCAAATTTCTTGGCTTTTAGGGCTTCATCAGCAAGTTTATCAATAACATAACAAACCTAAAAAAATTTTAGAGAGAGGTTATTGAGATTATTTTTAAGAAAATGGTTAATACATGCACCATAAGCTCAAAATTGCCTCCCTCAATTTGTTGGTTAAAGGAAAGAATTAAATACTTTATGATAAGATCAATAATTATTTTAAATGTGAATTTGAACACAGTGAATAGTAAAACAGTTTGTACCTGCTCTCCAGAGCCTGTTTTCAGTTTTGCTGGAGGAAAATCAGCTGAGGCTCCCTAAATTTTAAAAGAAAACAAACCCAACATTAAAAATGTACCAACAAGTCAGACCATCAAGGAAAAATAATCAAGTCATCTCACCAATTTTTTTAACTCATCCAAAATATTTGACACAGTAGCATTTGGGTCATCATACTGAAAGACAAAATTCAGTTCAGTTAGGAATAACCTTTAAAGTACAGTTAAAAATGATTGCATCATTATGATTGACATTGACTCAGACAGGCAGAGTCAATAAAAAATATTATGGGCCGGAGTCACGTTGTGTTTTGTTTCAGCTGTGGGCAATCCTGGTGTGACGATTACTGCAGCAGTTCTTTCACTATCTATTTTTTTCGATATTTGACAATATGAAAATTGCAGCTTGTCTGAATAATGAGTTTTTGCACTGTATTGATGAAAGTGCTAAACAATAATTACAATGAAAAACAATAACAAATTATGATAGTATTATTGTTATCCTAAAAGGTAAAACTGTGCATAAAGCATCAAGGAAAACAAAGAAGTCCCTTGTCTCCAAATGACCTCGAATTAGTTACTTGAATTGTCTTGCCTAGACATAATAACAAAAATTAATGATTAATCTGTTTATTCAGTCAGTGATACAGGCAGCTCGGAGGCAAAAATCCAAGTACTCACACTAACTTTTCATGAGCCAAACCTAATACAATGAATTAAATACATGGTTTGGAATGACTCAGCCGTTCTTTCTGCTTAGCCTGGTCGAGAATTTCAACTATGGATCGACTTTGGAATGGCTTTGATTCAGATGCCGGACTTTTTATTTACCAAACCTAATGCTTAAATTATAACCTATTTTGTAAGCAGTTTGACTCCGAAATGGACCTTTTTCTCCTTTTGAATTTAATTTGGCTGGAATTAAGATCGACGTCTGAATCAATTCAGGTGGCCTAAATAATTTTAGTCGGCCTTAATTCAAACTAGGTTAAGCTCATGAAAAGTTTGGTGTCTGAACCAGGCCTAATAGTTGAGCCTATGACCATCTAGTAACCAGTCCAGATGCTCTAACACTAAGCTACAAGAGACCTATGGGAGCCAAGGCCAATAAAATCATCACGTATCTTGAAATTGTGTTTTAAAAACAGAAAATTCACCTCTTGTGGCTGTTCAAAGTTCCTTCCACAACACGTAAGCAGCCATGCAGCTAGAGATGTAAAAGTAAAGAACTGCTCTCCTGGGTTCGTTGGCAGAGCAAAGAAGTGCCTGATGGATGAACAATGAAGACAATATGATTGTATCCAGTTTACTTATTACACAGCGACAGGTGTGAACCCAGGAGTCATGTTGTAAGTAAGTGGAATATGATCACCTGGGTGAGTGTATTCATGAATTGGACTGTTAAAGACAGTGACAGACATTATGAGAACAGCTGACAGTGGAAGTCACCTTCAGAGTCAAAGTGAGTTGTATCACATTACTTGATGGTACTAAACTCTAGGTCTACATTGACCTGATTGGTCATTTAAGTTGCACTTGTGTTGATCATCTGTCTGTTAAGCTGTGATGTTACTGGCTCTGACAAACAGCCAATACCTTTGTGGCTTAATTGACCAATTTTTTTTTTTTTTTTTTTTTTTTTTTTTGGGGGGGGGGGGAATTTTACATTAGTTATCATTTATATATGGTGATACAGGCTGCATGTTCATGTAGGTTTAAGTAAACAGTCCTTTTGTCGTTTTTGCAGCGAAATCACTAAGCTTACATCTAACAGATAACCACAGTATGATTAAGATAACTGAGTAAAAGAACTTTCTTTTGCACACCGATCGAGCTTACTTTGCACATTAAGTAAGTAAAAAAGAAACTTGTCGATCGTAGACGATGTTATCTAATTTGTTCTAACGAAGATTACCATTCACGTTATAGGGTACATTGACAAAATCTCACCTTGACAAAGGCCTAAATCCCCACTGCTTACAGAAATCCGTCTCGTAGTCAAGCAATTTGAGTTTTTCCAAGACTTCTTCCATAACTCCTACAGTTAACATATAACCCATAGAGGCATTGTCTGCGCCAGTTTCAGCGCCTCTTCGAACTTCGCCTTCCATGCTTTAAAACGCAAGCTTCAATTACTCTAAATACGATCAAAATAACAATTTTTGATCAAGAGAAATTGACCAGTTAGTTGCCATGTTATTTTTCGTCTCGAAGAAATGCCCTCGCTTTCAAAACCACGGAAAAGACTGGGATTAGTCGAGCCCGCAAAAATATCAGCTGACCTATCCACTTTCAAGATGGCGGACGTTTCCATGAAGAAAGTAAAAGATTTAATGGCAAAGAAAGATGCCATTGAGAAGGAAATTAAGGAGTTTCAAGAAGTGCTAGATTCTGTAAGCCTATCTTCGACTATTTCTTTTTGCACTTGATTTTCCTAAGACGTGATATAACCTTGTTTGTTTACTATACAGCAAAAGGGAATCGGGATGCACGAAAAGTTGATAGACGACGAAAATTACCCTCGCTCAGATATTGATGTTTATACAGTCCGTGTTGCAAGAAATCGGATTATCTGTAAGAAATATTTCATTCCTTTATGAAAGTTTTTTTCATGGTTACATGTATAGCTGAACATATAAATACATGCAGACGTGATCATTTGTTGAATGTTGATAAATTTTTTACATAGATTGCTGACTCATGTTTCGATTTCTTTGTTATTTTTCCTGGTAACATCAGGTCTTCAAAATGATCATAAAGCATTGATGAAAGAAATAGAACAGGGTATCCATGAAATCCATGCCAAAGCAAGAGAACAGAAGGAGAAGGAAAAAGAGGATCAAGATGAAAAGTCAATGGATGGTCTGTATATGTCATCAAAAATCTATGTAACCTTTACAACTTTTGTTAAATACGTAAATTGGGCTTGTATCATCATTAAAAACAACATCACTGTCACACCATTGTTATTGTCATCATCATCATCATCATCACATGCCTGCGGCACCATCATCATCATCAAATCCAAAGACTTACCTTATTACTTACCTTGTGTTTTTAGATGTTACATTGAGATTAAAAGCTTTCCTCAGAGTAGATTCAGTAGCAGAAGGTTCTCCATCATCACAAGCAGTAAGTGGAATTTTTATAGGGAATTTCAGCTTTCTTTTGCCAGATACTTGTTGCTTATAAATTACACTGGAATTTATTGGAAAGAGAAGGTCCACTGTGTACTCTTGTAAATGACAATCCATGATTCACACATTCAATTTTTGGAATATTTTTTATTTATGACTCAAGTGTCTTTACATCTTCAATAGCTTCAATTTACTAAAAGATTCACTATTTTACAGGGCTTGAAAACTGGTGACCAGATCTTAAGATTTGGTTCCATCACTAGTGAAAATTCTCAAGGCCTTCATGACATCGCTTCTGTTGTGCAGCACAGTAAAGGGGTAAAAATACAGAATATGCAAGTAAAAAACTTGTTTTTTTTATCATTTTAAGTTATAAACTAGTTTTTAATCCTTTAATACTTCATATTTTTATTTTTGCATTGTACCAGTCACCATTAAGCGTTATTGTTGAAAGAGAGGGAAAAAGACATACATTATCACTTACACCAAACACATGGAATGGCAGAGGACTCTTAGGGTATGCTTGTCTGGTTATTTATTTATTTATTTATTTTTGCTCTTTCTGCCAGAATCAGTTATGGTATTCACAGTGAATGATCATTCTTTACCTCAGAGTTAAATATTTCTAGAATAACTCTAGTCTTACATTCCTGTAATATTAAAGCACTAAAGGTTTTGACTTTGCTTCAAAATTATTGCTCATAGCCTATACATGCAGTGGTTCTGCAACCCTGTTTAATATGGTGCTCAACCTACACACAGATACTCTGTGAGCAGAGGTTTATCTCTTGCATGGCTTTTAGCATTTACAAAGTCTGTTGCGTAGGTAGTTTATACGTCCCATGAGAAAATAAACCAACTACGCAACTGGCAAGCCAACAAATGACTTTGTCGGTGCTAAAAGCCATGCAAGAGAAAACCTCTGCTCACAGGGTAACACAAAGAATAATCATTTTGTGTTTTAATTGTAACTTAGGCGGTCTTATTTTCCTGAGATTGAGTCCAGTGATCAGCTTTTATGATTGAGGTGTACAAAATATTTTGTTTCCTTTAGACTGAAATCTGTGAACTTTTAATATTCTTTTCTAGCTGCCATATTGTTCCTGTCAAGTAAGAGATGAGCTTCTGCAACAAATTTATGATGATCTACAGTTGTGTGACCATTCCATGCATGTAATCTTGTCAAATATAAGCATTGTTAGCATAGAACTATTTAAACATGCCAGAGATTTACCCTGAACATTTCCTTTTATTTTACTTATTAATAAACAAGAGCACAGTAAAAAAAATATCATTGCAATGTAACATAAACTTAAGCAATTTTTCAAGTTTAAGCAAGTTTTTTTTTTAAGCAAGTTTTCTGCTCTGCTGTATGCCCATTGTGACTTATGTGGGCTGTTATTAGTGATAAGAAGGGTATGTTTTGCATTTCAGTCTGATATGGATTTTCCTCTTTTTGTTGAAAAACATAGAAAACAAAACGTTGAGTGTGTATGGAAGGGAAATTAAGGAGAGAGATGATAAGAAGGGCAGTGTATGCCACAATAGGAATACTACCCTCCCCTCCCCTCCCCTCCTTGTAATAAACAATCACTTAGTCGGAAAGCCGAAGTTAGTATGAAAACGTTAGCAGCCTTTTGCTAGGCTTTTGGCCATATTGAGATCTCTCTAATAATAATCCAATGTTTTACTTCTCCTGTGAAAACAATTTTTAAGCATTTTACGGGGAAAGTTAAGGAATTGTCAAGTTGCTTTACATCTAAGATCGGATCTCTAAAATTGCCGACTTCTGAACATTTTGAATCATCGCAACCTCCAGTCTCCGCGTTATTTTCACACACCATGAGCACGCTGTCACTCATCGTATCCCTGAGCAACGGACTTCCACTGACTACACGCACGCGCGAGATTTGAAGGGGTTCTATAAACACCATTACGATGTTGTCATAATTCGGCGACATCCGCGGCGAGATGTGCGGAATAAAGCCGTCCTAAACCGGGAAGTCCATTCATCCCAAAGTTGTGTTCATAGGAAGATAAACTTAGATTTTCGAAATTGTCAATTTGCTGTTTAATAACTGGAAAGTAGGGCCTGACAGCACGCGCTTGGCCTGTCAAAAGTAAAACATTTTTAGACATTCGAAAACAATATTCGAATAGAAAAATAAGTCTCTTGTTAAAATCTACTGTTTTCTTCTTAAAATTTTCCGTAAAAGACCATGGATTCCATCTTGTGCTTTTTGTATTGACCCTCCCAAGAAGCTCTTGCGTTGGGTGTATGACTTGAATCAGCCCAATGTCGAGCTCGTTCTGAAAATTCTGTTCTATGTTTTGTGAGATTCTATCAAGTGCTATCACTATGATGATTTTGGTTTTTTCCGTTGGTGACATGTGCGTTTTCAGGGATTGAAGTGTTTGCAGCAAATTGTCATCTTCACCATCCATGCTTACAATACCAATACTCAGGTAAACTACGAATAAAGAAAAACAAAACAGTTAAGTTTGAAAAATAACACTCCAAAGATCATGCTTTGAGAATTGTGTACGTTAAAAATTAACTGTTTTGATAAAAAGAGGCTTTTTCAGTTCTCTCTAATCGGAAACAAAGGCATTTCATTTGCGGAAACTTTCATAATTTTCTTTTGTTTCCAGTTTGTTGTTACCTGATTCATATGTGAAAAGGAATTATTTATTGTAGAGTTTTAAATCGGTAAAGGGAGTTCCTCTTTTGCTAAATATTTGTAGATCGACCATTATTGATCGTCAATTTTCATAGCCTGCGTTCCAGACCAGTTTTCCCCAGAATAATTAATTACGGCAAAGCCTTAACTTTCACTTTCGTAACATGATTTTTCACTATTCTATTGTCGAGGTTTTCAATAGACCCCAATTCCCCTCTCGACCAGTTTTCGCTTGGTTTTACACAGACTACTCTGAAAGTACTAACTGAACAAACGAAACAGCATAACGTCTCGTGTTGTTTGATATGCGATGAAACGTTTGATACTTTAAACCAAGCACCTTTTTCGTTCCTTTTCCTTCCAAGAACAAGTCCTTTACTTGTGTCCACGTGATCAAGTACTCTTGTGCAATGACCCGAAATTATTTCAGGAGAACACTCCGTCACAGGGTCCCCAACATTCTTCAGATAAGAGCATGTGAGCGAAGATGCAACGTGCTTGGTATAAATGTCTGTGAAACCAAAATATATAAGAGTTAAATATGCGAAAATGTCTTTCTGACTTGAATTATGTTAGGGTGAATATTGTTTGCTCTCTCGTCCAAGCTAAATGTCAGAGTTTACATTTCTTTTGAACCTCTCTACAACGGCCATGATGGGGACACAAGAAAATGGCTGTTGTAGAGAGGTGGCCGTTAGCAGAAGTTTGACTGCAGTGGAAAAATCTATAGAATGCGAGAAAAATGTTCTGACGATAGAGTTGACAGTTTCCTATTTCCGCTAACAATCGCAGAAGGTTGCAGAAATATTGATGAACAGTTTACATCGCTCGAAAAGGGGAGCTCGCAAAGCAAGAAACAAAGTGGCCCAGTTTACTTACTCTTCAGAATCGTAGCAGAATTAAACAGAATTATTCCATAAAGAACCAAAGTAATGGCGCGTTGTTTTCCCATTTTTGGTAAAAACTTCGTCGATGAAGATGCGATTCAAATGTAAATCTATGAACTGTAGTAAATGAGCTGAAAATTGATTATTCAGGCGCCATGGTAACCAAACTCTTTCCAGAAGAACTTGAGTTACCCTAAAATTCCGAAAATAAGTCCCTCCATGTATAAGCCCCTCCAAATATAAGCCCTCCAAACTCAAAACACAAAAAACCCTCCGTTAAATCGCCCCTCCAAATATAAGCCACACGGGGGGTTGCACTTGGAAATTGCCCTCAAATACAAAGTAAAACAAAGCAAAAACGGTACATTTCCTTCCAACAATAAGGCTAGCCCAATCGATTTTGAAACGCAAATTCTCCTCCGTAGATAAGCCCCTCAAAAAAAATAAGCTTCTCAAAAAGGGCCTTTGAAAAGTATAAGCCCCGGGGCTTATTTTCGGAATTTTACGGTATAAACAGTGTTACATTGTCACCGTGTTGATTTTTCAAAAATATAATTTTTCGTCCCAACTTGGCTATAACTTTGAGTAAAAAGTTGCTTTTGGAAGCAAAAAAAAAATGATCATTGACTACGAAAGTGACTTAAATTCAAACTATTAAGTTAATCAGTGTGAAAAACACTTCTGCGGGCACTAAAAACAGGAAAATGGGGAAGAAATAACTCTGAAGAGTGAACATTCAAAAACATGAAATTTGCTTGGCTTCTGCAAATTTTAAAAAGTTTGTGAGCACTTACTTACATGTGAAAAAAAATCCGGTAATGTAGGAGCTGCTCGTAAGGTCGTTCTTTTAAACAATGGTAATTCATTGTTTTTCATCGTATTTTGGTTTGGGTAGCAATTGGCAGCTGCTACATGATCCAAAAAATCACACCGAAAACAAAATCGAGATTATTAAATCCACCTTTCTATATTGGCGTTAAGGTCAAAATGGCCATTTTGCTTTTTTGTGGACCGAAACGAAGTTAGGGTCAGTTAAAACAAAAAAGAGGCCAATATTCTGTTTTCTTAACACTTCTTCTGGCCGAAGTGAGAAAAACACCATCGACATACTGCTGTTAAATGCTTTGCTTTACTTATACAACTCTACAAAATAAATAAATGTACATAGAATAGCACTTAACAAAAGGAAGCTCTCCACACACAACACCATGTTTTACTGGGAGCTGTTTGTAACCCAAACCAGCCTAATATCCTGGCCAATCAGAATAGCGCCGGCAGTCAAATACTGTTCAAATAAACCAATCGCAGCTTAAAACGACGTACACTTGGCTGCAAGCGGGGAAAACACGCTTGACGTTGCTCCGATTCGTTAAAAGAAAGACACTCCATCAGTTATTTAACCAGTCACAGAGTGTAGCAGTAACCTAACCCTAACCCTAACCCTTACCCTAACCCTAACCCTAGCCCTAACCCTAACCCTAAACCAGAAGAATAAGTTTTAGAAAGTCCACTGTCCCTATTACTTTTATCTTTAACTTCACTCACGTACTTTAAGAACAAATTTTACTACAGGCAAAAACCTGATACACACAGTTTTATATACAACATATACTATGTGGTGCAATGTAGTTAAAACCCACTTTCAACTCCAGACCTCCTAGAACCCGGTTCCTCGAAAGTTGTTTAAGTTTAAGAAAATGTAACTGGAACTTATAATATTGTTTATATATACAGTGTAACCTCGATATAACGAAGGACCGAACGGGTAGCAAAATATATTCGTTCTAAGGAGGCTTCTTTATATAGAGGTTCTTTTTAATATATATGTTTTACTATTAAAGGGGTAAAGAAAATCGTTTCTTTATTCCGAGGAATTCGTTATAAAGAGTTTTTCCAAGACTTCTTCCATAACTCCTACAGTTAACAAATAACCCATAGAGGCATTGTCTGCCAAGTTTCGGCGCCTCTTCGAGCTTCGCCTTCCATTCTTTTAAAATCAAGCTTCAATTACTCTAAAATATGATCAAAATAATAATTTTTGATCAAGAGAAATTGACCATGGATGCCAGTTAGTTACTGCCCAAAACGTCCCGAGCCACTGCCCACTACTATATATGAACACCACTGTGACTGAACAGTAACCGTAGTAGATTGTGTATGTGTAGTATCTGTAGTAAGTGTAGTAGCTGTAGTATCTGTAGTAAGTGTAGTAGTTGTAGTAGCTGTAGTATCTGTAGTACCTGTAGTAGGTGTAGTAGCTATAGTACCTGTAGTAGGTGTAGTATCTGTAGTACCTCTAGTAGGTGTAGTATCTGTAGCATCTGTAGTATCTGTAGTAGCTGTAGTAGCTGTAGTAGTCACTACTGTGACTGAACAGTAACCGTAGTAGATTGTGTATGTGTAGTGTCTGTAGTAAGTGTATAGTAGCTGTAGTATCTGTAGTAAGTGTAGTAGCTGTAGTATCTGTAGTACCTGTAGTAGGTGTAGAAGCTATAGTACTTGTACCTAGGTGTAGTATCTGTAGAACCTCTAGTAGATGTAGTACCTGTAGCATCTGTAGTATCTGTAGTAGCTGTAGTAGCCTTAGTAGCTGTAGTAGGTGTAGTATCTATAGTACCTGTAGTAGGTGTAGTATCTGTAGTATCTGTAGTAGGTGTAGTCGCTGTAGTACCTGTAGTAGGTGTAGTATCTATAGTACCTGTAGTAGCTGGAGTATCTGTAGTATCTGTAGTAGGTGTAGTCGCTGTAGTAGCTGTAGTAGGTGTAGTATCTGTAGTATCTGTAGTAAGTGTAGTATCTGTAGTAGCTGTAGTAGTCTTAGTAGCTGTAGTAGCTGTAGTAGCTGTAGTATCTGTAGTATCTGTAGTAGGTGTAGTATCTGTAGAATCTGTAGTAAGTGTAGTATCTGTAGCAGGTGCAATACCTGTAGTAGGTGTAAGGAGAGGGATGATAAGAAGGGCAGTGTATGCCACAATAGGAATACTGCCCTCCCCTCCCCTCCCCTCCTTTTAATAAACAATCACTTAGTCGGAAAGTCGAAGTTAGCATGAAAACGTTAGCAGCTTTTTGCTAAGCTTTTGGCCATATTGAGATCTCTCTAATAATAATCCAGTGCTTTACTTCTCCTATGAAAACAATTTTTAAGCATTTTACGGGGAAAGTTAAGGAATTCTCAAGTTGCTTTACATCTAAGATCGGATCTCTAAAATCGCCGACTTCTGTACATTTTGAATCATCGCAACCTGCAGTCTCCGCGTTATTTTCACACACCATGAGCACGCTGTCACTCATCGTATCCCTGAGCAACGGACTTCCACTGACTACACGCACGCGCGAGATTTGAAGGGGTTCTATAAACACCATTACGATGTTGTCATCTTTTTTGGGCGTCTTCACCCAGGCAAATCCGTTCTTGTCATACAAAGCTTTCTCCATTTCGTGACCCACTGGAAAACTACAAGTTGTCTGAAATTCTATTTCAAGATTACCACCGCGAAGTTCCTTGCCAAATGCGAAGATGACTTCTTCACGCTTCTGGTTGGAGATTTTTATAGTACGTCTAAGAGCTGTGTACATGTCTATAATTAACCTTGGTAGGTGGCCATCTGGGAACATTGCGCCAAATTCGGCGACATCCGCGGCGAGATGTGCGGAATAAAGCCGTCCTAAACCGGGAAGTCCATTCATCCCAAAGTTGTGTTCATAGGAAGATAAACTTAGATTTTCGAAATTGTCAATTTGCTGTTTAATAACCGGAAAGTAGGGCCTGACAGCACGCGCTTGGCCTGTCAAAAGTAAAACATTTTTAGACATTCGAAAGCAATATTCGAAAAGAAAAATAAGTCTCTTGTTAAAATCTACTGTTTTCTTCTTAAAATTTTCCGTAAAAGACCATGGTTTCCATCCTGTGCTTTTTGCATTGACCCTTCCAAGAAACTCTTGCGTTGGGTGTATGACTTGAATCAGCTCAATGTCGAGCTCGTTCTGAAAATTCTTTTCTATGTTTTGTGAGATTCCTGCTTGTGATTCTCTATCAAGTGCTATCACTATGATGATTTCGGTTTTTTCCGATGGTGACATGTGCGTTTTCAAGGATTGAAGTGTTTGCAGCAAATTGTCATCTTCACCATCCATGCTTACAATACCAATACTCAGATAAACTGCGAATCAAGAAAAAAAACACAGTTAAGTTTGAAAATAACACTCCAAAGATCATGCTTTGAGAAGTGTGTACGTTAAAAATTAACTGTTTTGATAAAAAGAGGCTTTTTTACTTCTCTCTAATCGGAAACAAAGGCATTTCATTTGCGGAAACTTTCATAATTTCTTTTGTTTCCAGTTTTGTTGTTACCTGATTCATATTTAAAAAGGAGTTATTTATTGTAGAGTTTTAAATCGTTAAAGGGAGTTCCTTTTTTTTAAAGATTTGTAGATCGACCATTATTGACCGTCAATTTTCATAGCCTGCGTTCCAGACCAGTTTTCCACAGTATAATTAATTACGGCAAAGCCTTAATTTTCATTGTCGTAACGTGATTTTACACTACTCTATTGTCGAGGTTTTCAAGAGACCCCAATTCCCCTCTCGACCAGTTTTCGCTTGGTCTTACACAGACTACTCTGAAAGTACTAACTGAACAAACGAAACAGCATAACGTCTCGTTTTGTTTGATATGCGATGAAACGTTTAATACTTTAAACCAAGCACCTTTTTCGTTTCTTTTCCTTCCAAGAACAAGTCCTTTACTTGTGTCCACGTGATCAAGTACTCTTGCGCAATGATCCGAAATTATCTCAGAAGAACACTCCGTCACAGGGTCCCCAACATTCTTCAGATTAGCGCATGTGAGCGAAGATGCAACGTGCTTGGTATAAATGTCTATGAAACCAAAATATATAAGAGTTAAATATGCGAAAATGCCTTTCTGACTTGAATTATGTTAGGGTGAATATTGTTTTCTCTCTCGTCCAAGCTTAATATCAGAGTTTACATTTCTTTTGAACCTCTCTTCAACGGCCATGATGGGGACACAAGAACTTGATGGCTGTTGTAGAGAGGTGGCCGTTAGCAGAAGTTTGACTGCAGTGGAAAAATCTATAGAATGCGAGAAAAATGTTCTTACGATCGAGTTGACATTGTTCTATTTCCGCTAACAATTGCAGAACGTTGCAGAAATATTGATGAACAGTTTACATCGCTCGAAAAGGGAAGCTCGCAAAGCAAGAAACAAAGCGGCCCAGTTTACTTACTCTTCAGAATCGTAGCAGAATTAAACAGAATTATTCCATAAAGAACCACAGTAACGACGCGTTGTTTTCCCATTTTTGGTAAAAACTTCCTCGATGAAGATGCGATTCAAATGTGAAGCTATGAACAACAATAAGTGAAGTGAAAATTGATTATTCAGGCACCGTGGTAACCAAACTCTTTGCAGAAGAACTTTAGTTATAAACAGCGTTACACTGTCACCGTGTTGATTTTTAAAAAATATAATTTTTTGTCCCAGCTGGGCTATTATTTTGAATAAAAAGGTGCTTTTTGAAGCAAAAAAAATGATCATTGACCCGCTTGGGTGGGGTAAACTGCCTGTCCATATAATCTATCATTTTAATTTGATCACGTTTACATGATAGGTGGGGTAACCCGCCGAGAGTTACCTCACCTACCTGGGGTCCCTCACCTTCATGTAAACAGGCTCTTATAGGTGAAAAAAAATCCGGCAATGTAGGAGCTGCTCATAAGGTCTTTCGTGATTGGTGCTTTTAAACAATGGTAATTCATTGTTTTTCATCGTCTTCCGGTTTGGGTAGCAATTGGCCGCTGCTACATGATCCAAAAAAATCACACCGAAAACAAAATCGAGATTATTAAATCCACCCTTCTATATTGGCGTTAAGGTCAAAATGGCCCTTTTGCTTCTTTGTGGACCGAAACGAAGTTAGTGTCAATCAAAACAAAAAAAGAGGCCAATATTCTGTTTTCTTAACACTTCTTCTGGCCGAAGTGAGAAAAACACCATCGACATACTGATGTCAAATGCTTTGCTTTACTTATAAAACTCTACAAAATAAATAAATGTACATAGAATAGCACTTAACAAAAGGAAGCTGTCCACACACAACACCATGTTTTACTGGGAGCTGTTTTTAACCCAAACCAGCCTAATATCCTGGCCAATCAGAATAGCGCCGGCAATCAAATACTGTTCAAGTAAACCAATCGCAGCTTAAAACGACGTACACTTAGTGGCGGCAAGCGCGGAAAACACGCTTGACGTTGCTCCGATTGGTTCGAAAGAAATAAACTCGATCAGTTGTTTAACCAGTCACAGAGTGTAGCAGTACAGAAGAATAAAAACGCGGAGTTTTAGAAAGTCTACTATCCCTATTACTTTTATCTTTAACTTCACTCACGTACTATAAGTACAAATTTTACTACAGGCAAAAACTTGATACACACAGTTTTATATACAAGGTATACTTGCAAGATATACTATGTGGTGCAATGTAGTTAAAACTCACTTTCAACTCCAGACCTCCTAGAACCCGGTTCCTCGAAAGATGTTTAAGTTTAAGAAAATGTAACTGGAGCTTAGAAAATATTGTTGATCTATACAGTGTAACCTCGATATAACGAAGGGCCGATTGACTAGCAAAATATGTTCGTTCTAACGAGGCTTCGTTATATCGAGGTTCTTTTTAATATGTTTTACTATTAACGGGGTAAAACTCGTTTCTTTATACTGAGGAATTCGTTGTAAAGAACTTCGTTAAATCGAGGTTCCACTGTACTTTCAAATCCAGGCTTTTTACACAAAACGATAAGCTGAACAACATAAAGAAAGAAAAATAAAATCAATAACTTAAATCTTAACCCTGAATTAGCGTAGCCTGATTAGAGACCTTGCATTTTCTCTTTAAACATCAATCGAGTGCGTGCATGAAAGTAAAAAAAGCCGGGGACTTATTGACCGCTAGGGCAACGGGGTGCGAGTGTTCTTTTTTCTCTCGCGCACCACTAAAAACTCCTTGAAGAGAAAGAAAAAACGTCTGTGGACAGACCAAGATAAGCGCTTATTGGATTTCAGGAACCGGGTCCAGGTCTCTCACGGCCAACAAAACCTGGGTATGGGGACCACAATGAGTAATAACACGTCAGGTAAGTAAGAGTGTGCCTGTAGATTAAGAAACTTATGCGTTCCTCGTCTTGGGATTAATTTCTACTAAGCACATTAGTCAATCAGTAATGCGGTGGCTGCCTCGTTCCCAGACGTTTCTCTCGATGTGAATCTGCACGCAAAGGAAGGCGGGAAGGAGAAACGGGCTTGGCCTCTCTTCTTTCTCCTTTCCATGGTTCCCTGCGCTTCGTCACCAGTCACTTGCGATTCGCGCTCGCTCTTATTCGCAAAAAACAAAGCGCCTAACGAGGAGACAGATGCGGCGGTATTTGCACAAAAAAATTCAGATTAATAAATCTTGTGGTTTTACATGCGTTGCAACACGGAGAATGCCCGCATGCGCAGTAACGCTTGTTACCAACTTCTCTGATAACTCGTGGACACTGATAAAAGTGTGTGTGTTTACCAAACAGGAAATATCAGCAGGAAATAACTCAGTTTTCTGACACTCGCGACGAACTACTGATTAGCACCCTATACTGCTAATATTATTGACTAAACATCTGGCCCCGGTTGTTCAAACGTTGGATACGATTGTCCACCGGATAAATCACTATCCAGTGGTTAAGTATTAGGAAACCAGTTGCGTTATCCACTGAATAGCGCGGTGGAGAGCGCTATCCAACGTTTGAACTACCGGGGCTGTAATAACACCAAATGAAACTTTTCTAAAAATCACAGAAAAAAAGCAATACAAAAAACTGCTCTTAAAACCTAAATACATAATAACAGATACAGAATAACTTAAAAGGTAAAAGCATGGTTTTATAAATATTGAAGTTAAGAGCAATAATAACAGTAAATTCAAGTCGTTAAGCCACCACGACGGCATACAACGCCGAGAAAAACTACTTGAATATTCAATTCGTATATATTCACTTACATCCTACTTTGAAATTACTGATTAACACCTTTTACGTGCTCAACATGCCAATGATTGTCAACTTTTAAAAAAGAAAGGGGAATCAACCGTTGAGCCGTCACGTTTGGTATAAAACTTTAAATATGAATTTTAAACGCACACGCAAAGGAATGTGTTGCTTCTCGCTGCTGTCGGCGTCGCAGTTGCTAAAACTCCTTGATGGTTATGACACTTCCTTAAAATATGGACACCAACAGGGATGGACCACAGTGTTACCAAGGTACAAATCTCTGTCCCCGTAACTTCGTGGGGCGCAAGACACGCGCGTGTCTCGCGTTCCACACCCGCTTTGTTTCGCCTGAGAAACGCGAAGGGAAGCGCCTGTTCTGCAGCCAGGCTATTATAAATAAACAAATATTCCAGCAGAACTGGTCTTTAAAAGGAGCTCCCGACGTTTTGTGTCATCTGAGGTTAGTTTCTTGAATCACTGAGTGAAGAACCTCCAGTCCGTGCATCTCTCGCAGTTTTTCAAGATGCCTGGAAAATTTGTATGAAACAGAACAAGATTTATTAAAATACTGATAAAGTACAATCGATTCAAGTGAAAACACTTTATCATTAAAAATAGTGTACTAAAAAGGCTAAGGACAATAAAACTCGCAACTAAACAAAAGAAATTAATGCTTAATGAGTGTCTGTATCTGATAAAGATACAGCTAAACTTTACGTCCAGTTTTTAGACCAAAATAAATCCAAATCTGAATATTAGTGCAAGAATGAGTGGATCGATCTGTATCAGAGATTTTGAAGCCCGTCGTTTAAAAACTCGAGTGGAAGCCGAGACTTTTTAAACCTGATAAAACACTCCTGCTCGCTTTTTAAACAGGACATAAATGTTCTCTTTTGTTAATGAGTTATCAATGATCTCCAATTTACCTTTCATCCGCTGTAGCAAGTTTTGCTAAACAAATGGCAGCATTCTGCTTGACCTCTTTACTTAATTTCTCGTTTGTAGCGTGTTTCAGTAGAATTTCCACCACGCCGTTGACTCCAGCCAGATGATCACTCACTTCCTCTGTTGTAAAAAGTAATCATAACTATGTTCAGTTAAATGTGATAGTATGGTTGAGTACAACTGAGCACAGCCCTCAATAGGACTGCTGGTGATAGTGACTAACGTTTTAATTGACAATCTGTGCAGAAGTTATTACCAGAGTCAAAGTCGATGACGGCAACGACCTAATTGGTCAATTGAGTGGAGTTACTACAAACAGTGCATGCTCTCATTGGCAATTATGTGGTCACATTGGTCACATGACTTTTAACAATGAAACCTGTCTTGTTCCTAGGTTTCTCAAGTGTTTGGTAAGAAAACGCGACTGCGAGCGATCAAGGAGTAACGCGCAATAGACCTTGTGAATTTTGAGCGATGGTGCAAAAGACCCTGGCCAAAATCGCTCCAGTCACTCTCGATTACGAATCCCCTACAACGCGCCTGGGTACGAGGCAGCAATATAACTGTTTCCCGCCAAAAGTCTCTTAGCGGGCAGCACTGCCAAAACTATGACGTCAGAAGGTAAGAGTGCCCTGCTGTGCCCCAACTCAACTGTGAGTCTCGGAAACAAAAATGAACTGCTTCCGTCATGGTGACTTATTCATTTATTTCACTTACTCATGTCTACACAGTGACTAAGGCACAAAGCTGTATTTCCGACGATGACTTCGTCCTCATGGTGGAGTAACTGAACTAAAAAATCCAGAGCTGTGAAAAGAGCCAAAGGAGACACATGAGTGATGCTTATACGATGACAATATCCCTTGCAGAATACAAGGATTACCAGGTGTACTCACATTTCTCACTCATGATTCCATCTCTTGCATCTTTTCTCTCCATAGTACAAAGTGCAAGAATCTTAATGGAATATTTTTTCACAGTTTCTCGAGTGCTTGCTCCCCATCCTACTTGGAAGTGACTGCTTAGAATAACTAGCTGTGGAATGATATAAATACGCACATGGTCACTTTGGAGGTATGTAGCTAAGAAGTTCAGCAGCAACGACAGTTCAGCAGCCATCCATTTACCCCTTGACAACCCTTTGTCTCATTCGGCAGCCCCTAGAGCAACATCACAAGTTTATCGCAAGGGTACAAATCAAATCAGGACAACGACATCTTGTGCCACAACAAGCTTATTTCTACATCTACAATTCAGCTTCTGCATTTCCCTGAAATGTATTGAAAACTTACCTTGAGGATTCTTATGACATGGATATGAATTTTCTGATCACAAGCTGAATTTAAAGCTTCCGTTGAATGAGCCAGCAAATGTCTCAGAGTTGCAAGGCTGCGCTGAAACATTTATAAAAAGAGATAAGTTACCAAAATTGTTTGTACATATTAAACCATCCTTCAAAAAGAGACATAATCTTCTATAAAGAACTTGCAGAAGTTAACGGAAAGACATCAACTTTAAAATGCCTATCACGCTGGCAAAACCTTGAAAATTTTACTAATTTTTCTTCATTACAAACACTGCAAAGAAGATTTGCTAGTTACCTTTCATTTGAATAATAACATGCCAGGATTTTATCCAGAGACTAGACAACTAGAACCAACTTTACTGCATAATATGCAGGCCAGCAAAACAATTACTGAACTTGTGCAACAGGACTGGAGACGGAAGACGACATACATGACAATAATATTATGTTTGAAGAAAAATTCTGCCAAACTTCACCTTCCTTTAAACAGATCTTTTTGTTAAAGACCAGAGCACAGTAATGTTAACTGAAAATCGTGACGAAACATGCAATATCACATTTGTCACCCCTCTCCTTTCTGCCGTTCTGTTGCCTAAGCCCACTATTGGTCAGCATGGCTTGGTATAATAAAACATATTTTACATACATCACAAATTTCATCATATCCAGTGTTGAGCATCTCAATAAGCGATGGAATCAACTTAGTTGCTACATCCTAAAATCAATCAAAAATAAAACAAAAAGTCTGTTTTAAAGCTAGACAAAAATAATTTTACTTTGTCATGCAAGTGCATGTCAGTCCGTTTATTAATTTTCAAATGCATGAAATATAATGCATAAAACATGATTTCCTGAACAACCACTCAAGCACTATGAGAAATTCTTGGGTAACTTAATACTAACCTTTTGATATTGGTTCGGTTGTGTAGAAATGTTTGCCAGCAGAGCTAGTAGGGAAAATACCGAGCACCTCACTTTTTGATCCTTTATTCCACGAATATGGGAATCCTTAAAAAAAAAAAGAAAAGAAAAGAAAGCAGACTTGAAATGTAACGTCTGGAGCTGCATAAGCAAATTCTTCAAGCATTTGTGTTCATATGTGCAGGGTTGTGATTGTTGCTGGCTTTCTTCCTTGTATGGAAAAGGTCTGCTCCTAGTACTTCAGTTATTTCCTCTTTTAAAAACTAACATTTTCAAATCCCAGTTCAAACTTGAAAAGACAAAAGCTTCTTGATTGATGAGTTTTGTGGTTAAAAGATGTTAAATTCATATTTTTCATTTTTACATCACACATACAAGTAAACAAGATTTCTTAAAATACTGATCACGGACAAAAATACTGCCTCAAGGGACCATCCAAGGCCCAAAAAACTGGCTGGAAGGGGGAGGGGGGAGGGGATGAGGGAGAAGGGTAAGTAATCAAATGGGAAATGGAAATTTGTTCAAATAATGCACATCAAGATTCCACCATAGAAGAATGAGAGTAACAACGAAAAAATCTACCAACCAGGAATTTGACACTAGTTTGCCACCACTGTTGTTCTTCAGCAATCTTGTTTCTAATGTAGGTGTCTCTTGCCATATTGGCTAATGCCGACAGACCAGACGAAACTAAGGACCAGTTGTCTGTTGGTTCATGGGAAGCTTTTGAGCTTCCTTCACAAAGCTTTAACTACAGAAAAAGGAGAAAGAAATTTTTAAAGTTGTTACTGATACCACGACTAAATGTCTGCTTAGGAGAGGTGTCTGCTAAAGGTGATGTTACACGGGATGATTTGCAACGACGATTGTTAGCTCAACTCTGCATTGCAATGTTGGAACCACGTTGCAACTATTCGAAACAGCGTTGCAACAATGTTGTAATGCTCACAGTGTTGCGCCAAAAATCATTGTTGTGAATCGTCTCTTGTAATATCACCTTATGAATGCAAAACATCCAGTGTTTGTAAGTGGCTGGGACCATGACCAGTGTGCACTTTCACCAGCCCCAGTTGTTTTAAAATAAAGTAGCATTACCTGTAGATCTTAACATGTCTAACAGAATATATAAGTGCACTATGCAAGTCTTCCTTACCACAAACTTATGAGAAATGCTCAGGAAGTCTTTGTCAACTAAGTCCCTGATTCTTTCACAAAATCTGAAAAAAAGATGTTAAGTTGGCACAATCTGCATGTAATTTGGTTCATAACAGAAAAAAACCCTTAACCAGTGATATTACATAACAGTGCTTTAAAAAGGATATTTGGTGTATGCAATGAAAACGACAATACTTACCCTTGTTCTAGAGCTAAATTATTAATGGTCGACATTGCTACAACTGCAGTATTGGTTCCTCTTTGTACAAGTAAAAACAGGGCTTCTGTTACCCTATAAAATCAAATTAAAAGCTACTAACTGTTACGGCCTAGAAGTAAGCTTAAACTTTAATACCACAATATTAGTTTTGACATGTCAGAAGAAAAAAGTCTGTAAGACCCTAAACACTCAACAATAAGATCAACTCAGACAATATTCATGCTGATTAACAAATGCAGGAATTATAATAGCAGCAATAACCCTCACCATTTAATATCTCTACATTTTGTTAGACCTAGTCTTCCCTTTTCTGTTTGTGAGAGCTGATGAAGGAATGATGTTACAGCTGTTCTTATCACTGTAGAGGTGGGATCTCTCAGAAGGCGATTGAAACAGGAAGAGTGGTCTTTTTTCAGAAATTCTTCAACATTATAATCTACAATGAAACAAAAAATAACAGTTCTTTTAACACTCACAATTTCATGATATTTTGTGACTGACTAATTTCAGTAGAAAATGATTAACTGGACAAATATGTATGAGTGATCAAAAGACTTGTTATGGGGCCTAGCATGGCTAGTGTCACTAACATTTTAAGTTGCCACCTGTATGTATTAGTAGGTAGGGAACTGAACAACTGGTAGGTTCTCTTGGTCATATTTTCCTTTTGTTTCCTGTGAAGGAACCAGCCGCGAGGACTATGCTCATGCTCACCAAGAGAAAAACCATGGCCCCTGGCCCTTAACAGCAGACATGGAACATATATGTCATGGTATTTTCAAAGTTTTTTTGTTTATTTTTGAAAATACAAATTAGCAATGCAACAGACTGTCTTTTAATTTAGAAAATCATAACAATTTTACTGATTCTGGCCATCATGAATCACAGTTTGGACCAACTGAGATAAACTTGAAAAAAAGAAAAGAAAATGGGAACATGGCTTTCAGATGCAACAAAAGAATTACCATTGTCAGTGCAGGCTTGCATCAGAATCCGTACAACATCACAAACAAAGTCAATATCTTCCAACATGATACATACATCAGTCCCTTCCCAATATCTACAAATGACAGGGGATACTGTATTCAGATTCTGATAACACGCAGTTCTAACGATAACAATATTATACAATACAATATTATTGTTTTTCACATGAAAATCACAGATTGTAATGAGGAAATAGTGGTATACCAAAACTCTCAAAAAATTGCCCCCAGAAAACAAGGTTTCCCTAACATATCCGTTACAGGTCAAAAATTACATACAGGTTAAAATTTTTCAACCCGCGTTAATTCTCAATTTCCTCTGTCTCCTAGCCCTAATTCGGGAAAAATTAGGGCTAAGGGATACAGGAAATGGAGAATCAACCTAGAAAAAAGTTTAACCTGAATTTAATTTTGAGCTGTAAAATATCCAACAATAAAGGGCATACCAAATGCTCCTGAAATTAAAGTTATTTCAAATTAAATGTACCATATTCCCAATAAAACAAACAAAAAACAAAGCAATATTTTCATGTAAATTTACTAAGTCTGTAAAATGAACAAAAAGGGGTAAATGCTCTTAAGAAGCAAATAATACTATAAATTTGTCTCAAACAATTTTAATCCAAGTTCAATTTCACTATTACAAAAAAGGTCTACCTGTACGATAACAAAAAAAGATAGTTGCTACACAGTTAATGTAATTTGCAGGATTAATACTTACTTTCTAAAAATCTTATTGAACTCGGTAATCTGAAAACCCCCATAACATCGAAACAAGGTTTTGTTTGCATCTACAATGGAATAATAAAGTTTGAATAAGAACAGAAAAAGCTGAAAAGAGGGTTGTAACATAATATTAACCCCACCAATAAACCTTTCAGCTTGTTCCTTACATTGTTAAAGGTGGTGCTAACATCTTAACCTGTGGATGAAATGCTAACATGTGACCACTGACTTGAAAGCTACTGAGCAGTTCTTTCCACTGGCACAATTTATTTAACTGTAGAAGGTATTTGAAACTTTCAAATCTGTGGATGAAATCATCAAGTCTAACCATTCAAATGAAAGGTACTGCAGTTAAGTATTTTCCTGTGTTACTGTTTATCATGTTTTACAAGGAGGTTCTTTCCAAGTGTTAAATTAATTTAAAGGATAAAATTCTTATGTGTGAGACCTATTCAAATATCAACATATTTTACACAGATTAGTCATGTCCCAAATATTACCATACAAATTACACCTACTATTATCAAGAACTCTGACCAATCTCCTTGTAGCCTCAGAGCACTGGGAAGTAACAAGACTGGCTTTCTGCAGTCTGTTGATAGAGTCTCGTATTAAATCTCCATTCCCTTGACCTGCTACATCAACAGCCTAAAAATTATTGATAAAAATGATATTCCACGCTTAGTAACAAAATGTGAGTTAATGGCAAAGCAATGCTCTTGCCATTAAGCTATAGTGAGACTTAGAAAAAATACTGTGGGCCATTTAACTCAGTTTACCAATTATAACAAGCAATTTTTATAGAGCTAGCCTAAGCTGTTCAGAAGTTGGATAGCGCTATTCAATGGATATATCTCTATTCAGCAGATAAGTATTAACCGATAGTGTAATAATTATTATTTAATTATCACAGAACAAGGTCCTGGTGTACGTAAATTTTGCCTTACTTTCCACCTAAAAAATGTGTGTAATTATGAAAAAAGAAATGAAGAAACTAACATCCTTAATGTCACCAATCACAAAACAGATTGTGGACATTTTACCTTATGGGCATTTTAGCAAAAATTAGAAGTAGACAAGTGCAATTCTGTACAATGAATCTCAGCTTGAATAATATAATTATAGCCATTTTGAACTTCAATTGACCACAAAATGCTAATACACCCTGACATGCCTTGTAATGTTTTATATTTTGGACATGTAAGCCAAAACATCCAATAAAAGTCTACCTACCTCCTTTTCATCTTGAACTCTCTGTTTTAATGACTCCGCCTCTGCAATATACGCTTTAAAGAAAATGAAACACTCAGAGAGACAGTAGTTATGGTATTCAGGTAACAAACTGGGCTTTTTATTTATCACTCTAATTCTACAAATGACAAGAATGTCTGCTAAAAAGTTCACATTTGCACAAAACAAATACATGTGCCTTAAAATTTTTTTCACGGTGTCCAAATTAGCTTTAAAGCTTACTGCATTTCCACAACATAACTATTACTAACAAATAGCATCCACATTCAAAAGTAAGTGGACACCTCTTTAGTTGAATCAGGAAATAAGCACCCCTCCCCTCTCTCAACACACCTTTCTGTTACACTTGAATTCGGTCTATAAAAAACAAAGCTGTACAAAGGAGAAAACAACCTGGTTGTACTCAAATACAACTAAACTTCATCAGAAGGATGCTTAGGTGTAGCCATGAAATGCCTACGTAACAAAGACCAACACTGACACTAGCCTTGTCAAAATACCAGTATTCCCTCTTCCCCATTTTTTAGAATACAAGAACACCTACAATACTAGGGTACCTTTAAGAACCTTTTCTTGCTTTGGTGCAACTTGAATAGCACTCTTCAACACTGTAACTGCCTGCAGAGAAACAACCACAGAACCTCATTCACTGATTCAGTAGTTTCCAGAGAGCGGGTCACTCTTGCAGAAAAATTTGTCGATTTTGGTACCACAAAAGGTGTTTAGTTTGGAATGTTATTTTTTGTCCATGCCTAGGGCAGTGCACAAGAAATAGTACAAAAAACTGCTATAATGTGAAGGTGGTTTATTGTTATGTATACTGATCATTCATGACAGTGCTTACAGGTTCATCATTTATTTGCATTCAAATTCACTAATGTTAAAATGGTCTCTTTTAGGGATCGAAAATTAAGTTAAGCCATGCCAAAATTGTATATTCATGGAAACTATGAAAACTTTCATAGCAAGAAATGGCAATCCTATTTTGGGCATGGTATAAAGAAAGTGAAAAAAGTATATAAAGGCAACCATACCTCATCAAATTTTCCTTGCGCTTGCAATGCTCTTGCCTTATGAACAAAAGCCTTTACGCATTTTTCATCAATCTAATAGGTGTAAATAAAACTGTAATATCAGATTCACATCAAGTTTAAATAAGAGAATTACTTGACTTTAAAGTGACTAATACTAAGTTAACAATGTGACAGATAAGAATATTTCTTAACAAGTAAGAGCACTTGCCTTTAAAGCAAGATTGCAATCTTCTATAGCCGAGTCAAAGTCTTCAAGTTTGATGTATGCCTAAGGCGTTAAAAAAATGCACTTTATTTGAGTGTCAATGTATTTAGCACAAAAGTACTAATTGGGGACACTATTTTTGCTTCCCCTTGTGGAGACAGGACAGCCGGAGTACCTTCATTTCTCAGTTATTTTAAGACTTTGAGTATTGTTCCGGCCCCGAGTTCACGACCTACCGCTCTGCAGTCAAGCACTCTACTGACTGAGCTAATCCTGCCACAGTATAAGTAATAAAAAAGATTAACAGTAGCCAAGACTTGTATGTAAGTTAATACTCGTGTAAACAGTACATGTATATACATCCATTAAAAAAGTGTTCAATTTCTCTCATGAAAGTTAGGCACACAAAGAAAATGGAACTGCAGTCTGATACTAAAGAACATATTTCTGTATGAACTTTTTTAGCTTTTTCTGCACATACTTGGTTTCTACCCTCTCCTCAAAAACTAACATGTCCAAATTCCAGTTCAATCTGGAAAAATGACTTCCTTTAGTCAGGAACACTAAGAGGCCTCCCAGCTACGAGTGTTACCCTAGCTAAATAAAGTTTCAGTAAAGTTTTTTCTTTTTTCTTTTAACTTTTTACATGTGTACAAGTATGGTAAATGACTGCATTAACAAGCAATAATACATTGTTCTGATCGTTGGAATTTTTGGAATGATAAAATTACCTGTGCCCTGTTAGTATAAAGAACAGGATTTGAACTGAATTTATTGATTGCCATGGTGTAATTGCTGATGGCTTCTGTAAATTTTCCCTCCTTGAATGCTTCATTTCCCTTTGCCTTTAATTTTTCAGCTTCAGATTCATTTCTCTTTCTGATCTTCGCCCTTTCTTTGGCATCTTCTTCAACTGCTTTCATAAACTGCTCTGTTTTAATATATCAAAACAAAAAAGCTCTTTTATTCCAACTCAGACTTCAACAGTTGATAGCCAACCTAGGTGATTCATTGACATCAAAACAAAAAAACTTATGTCACCTTGGTATTACAGAAACATGTCTATTTCTAACGTTCAAGTCCTTGGATAAAATTTTTAAGTGAGACCATTTCAAATGAAACCTCTTCAGCATTAATTTCCTGTGGTTCAGTTCAATTAGTCTGTGGACAAAGTCCTAAAGCATGACCATTCAACTCTGGCCATTTCACAAAGTAAACAAATTGCCAGCAAAATTATGATACCACTTACTACAGTCTTATGAAAGTTCCTTGCAGAAGCAGAAAACATAAAACTAAAAAAAATTACATCTTACCAGCACAAACTTCACCTGCATCCCGCTAATGTTCATTATGAAAAGAAAAGAAAACATCATTTTTGCAGGTATTGTGTGACGGAAAGTGATAGATATGGCTTTAATAGGGTTAATTAGATTAACGTAAAAATTGAAATGAGAAGCTAACAGTTGATCACAAATCAACTGAAGATTTTTCCAAGCACTCCTTTATTCATGGATACAGAATCTCACCATCTGATTCAAAGCAGTAGAAGGATCCAGCCTCCTTTTTTCTTTGCTCTTAGAAATAACTGTTCTGTCTGACTTGGTTTTAACTTTCCTGCATTCTTCTTCAGAATCTTCGCCATTTTCCGCTTTGTGTCGCTTTAAAAATTCATCTGCAGCTGTGAGAGCCTTATTTTGTCTTTCAAGGTCACCACACATCAGGTCTTTCATGATAGAGTCTGTAATGATAGGTATTTTTGGGTTAATTTGGAAATTTGACTCTATAAGCAATCAGGGAAGAGGGTTACATATTAGCTTGAGTATTCTTTTCAAAGTGTCCTATTCTGTTTTGATATATTTTCTTAAGAAAAGTGATCCATAGTATGGCTTAGCTATGGAAATTTTACATTTAACATTTTTTTCTTGCAAGTATGCCCTTGACAATAAATGTTTACGTCCAAAATATGGATGGGTGAAAAACTGTACATGTAGATCTAACCCAAAATGCTAACCTTAAACCTAGCAAAAAAAATATGATCACAGATACAACTTTACTTTACTATTCAATCAAGCTTATAATCAGCTTTTGAAACCACTCCAACCTCTACACGTAGCTAAAATATTACTAGACATGAACTAGTGTACACAAACTTTTAGATGGAGGTGATTATGATGCAGGTTTTCTTAGAAACTTGAGGCTATGATTCGTCTTTTGAAAAGAGCATCAAATCTACTTAGAATATAGGTTATTAATGTTCACTAATCTGCTGATAATTTAAAGATACAACGTACAAATTCTATACAAGTAACAGATTAACCTTAATAGCTTAGGCGACCCAAGCTGTTGATTTCAGTTCTTGTGAGGTTTCGAATTCAGGCCCCTAAGTAAGCGCCCTGACGTTTTCTATTTCTGCAAATGCAATCACAACCTTCAAAAAAGACTTTCCTTACCAATTTCATCGACTTTTCCGAGAAATTTTTGGAGTTCTTCCTCTTTTCCAGTCGTTTCCTCCATTTTTGAAGAAACGGGATCGTACGAATATTAATCGACTCTATGGAAGCAATCGTTAACCATTCGACACTGTCGGAAGGTTTCGTAGATCGCTCGAGGACACCGAAGGTCATTCTCTTCAGTCTTGTTTTGGTTGTCTGTTCGTAGCATTCGAAGAAACTAAAGTTACGTGTTTATGTTTGTTGAATAAGTCAAGTTCACTCTTTAACTACAAATGGCTGAGGTTGAAGAGGGGCAAGCTTTTCAACGAGACTTGCCTTGATGTCTTCGGTATTGCCACCGTGAGCAAAGTTGTTTGGACGCATTTTCTTGCAGGCACATTTTTCCAAAATGGCTATAAATGCTCATCACTGCTTTGTCCCCAGTCTGCAATCCCGTGAACTGGGAATCCTTTCGTCGAGGAATTTCACCAGAAATACTTCTGGTTCTTGCGGACTTGTAAAACGAATGACTTTACATAATAAACTGGAACACCATGACGGATGTGTGAATACTCTTCATTTCAACACGACGGGAGAGCTTCTGGCTTCTGGAAGTGATGATCTAGATATTGTTATATGGGACTGGGCGAAAGGAAAGAAAAAACTTGCCTATGAAAGTGGCCACTCGAGCAATGTTTTTCAGGTAATAAAAAGACCTCATAAAGGAAACATAATATGCAAGGGATAAGATCAATGAATACAGTCATTTAACATGAACAAGGTTATCACTCAAAAAGATGTTTGTTATTTGATTTTCTTACTATTTTTTGCAGGCAAAGTTTATGCCATATACCGGTGATAATACAATAGTGAGTTGTGCTAGAGATGGAAAGGTATCAGAAAATTAGTTTATTTATTAGTTATTTTACTTGTTTATCATGTAACCCAGTCAATCAGCTGATCAAAAGCATTGATCGTTCTTTATCTCGCATTCTCCATTGGAAGAATGTTAATTTGTTTACTGTTTGATTTATTAAACAATGTAAGCTTGGAATGAGGAAACAATAATACTTAAAACTAACGAGTATGTCTCCTCATGGGCCCAAAAAATCTATATACTGAGCATCAATCACAGTTTACCTTGCTGCTTTAAGATTCATTTGTTTATGTGTTTGATGGTACACAACATCATGAGATATTTTATTACGGGTGAGAAAGATGAAATGTTTATCATGTAGCAGAATCCTTCCTGCCTCACAAACCACCTTCAGCTTCCACCTGAAAATTACAATTAAATTTTATTATAACAATAATATTATTATTTAAGGTTCAACTTAAGCAATCTCTGACAGACCTTCCCACCTGCAGGAAGAGAAAATCTAGAGATTTTGAAAAACAGTGAACCAAAAAAGGGGAGATTCGTATAATGGGCCTTTTGTATGAGTTGATCATGTGGTCAACTTTCGGTAAACACGAAAACAGTTCGCTTTTGAAACATTTTGTTAGCTCAAGCTGAAAGAGGGCATTAAAATTAGGTAACCTGTACATTTTCAACTGTATAGAGCGTGCAAAGAAAGCAGTGTCCGATAGCCCAGGACTAGTGGATTTTGCTATCAGGCTAGTGATTTCTTTTTTTAACTTGCCCGACCAGCAAGTGATGTTTTTTTGAGGAATTCGAATAACGGAAGAACTGTGAAATCAATTTTGCTAGTGAAAAATTTTTTGCGGCTAGCTGAAATCACGTCTGGGCTAGTAACTGCTAGCTTCAGTGTGCCCGAATGGCAAGCTGTAAAAGTGATTTTCTTTGCACCCTGGTATATCTCAAAAGTAGCGATTTCAACAGCCTCCTAAAATTAGAAGGTTTTGTATGAGATAAACAACTCTTGCCACCCAGTCATGCTTGAATGGTTTTCCATACAAATCCTTGTAAATTCTGAAATTTTTAAACTGTCGTTAAATCTTTTCCTTACGCATTTAATGGGTAAAATTGCCTGTTATGAATTAAAAGAAGATTTGAGCCCCATAATGCTTATGGAAATATTTCGCGACAGTTTGAAAATTTCAAAATTTTCAATGATGTGTATGGAAAACCTGGCAGTTGGTTTCAGATACGAGAGATAACATATGTAAATGAAGGATGAATGAACATTTTAGTTATTATAAGGGCTTTGTTCTACACTTAACCAACTACTTCTAAGATTTTAAGGTGTGACACGGTGTTTAACCCTTTAAACCTCAGTATCCACATACAAATTCTCCAAACTGGTCTCTATTCATTTCCTTAAAGTATAAGTTGAGAGAACTTGATAAAAGATCAAGAAATTTTACCTCTGGTGATCATTTTATTAATTCTCATAACTGTATCTCTTGACAGTGTGTGGTTATCATTAGGAGAAAATTGATGTTGATCACTATTGGGACTGAAAGGGTTAAATAGATTACCCTACTGTGTATGTTACAGGTCAAATTTGATCTCAGGTTAATTTTGATTTAACCTAGGTTAATTCATTCTCAGTTTCCTTTGTCCTCTAGCCATAGCAGACACGGGAAATCAAGAATATCAACCAAGGTTAAAAATTTTTAATCTGAGAAAAACTTGACCTGTAACATATACAACATTGTCTATTCTCCTTAAAACATTTTTAAAATATTATCAAAGCTTGTTCTATACGTCTACGTTCAAGTGAATTCATAGCCACGATCTTAAGAAGGGACTCATAATCAGAATTTTTCGCCATGTTCATTATTGCTCATAAATCATAATGAATAGCATCTTCCAATAATTTATTTTTGAGTGTCTTGGTTTGTTATACGATAAGTAACAAATTGCAATATTCAAAATGCGACAATCCGAAGCCCTTGTAAAGGGTCAATAAAGTATCTGCTGGAATTAAGTACTTAAGGTGTTGATGTTGGAGTAAGTTAGAGTATGTTTTCTTTATATTAGCAGTATGTTAATTTATATGTTGTTTGAAAGATGATTTATTGTCCAGGTTATTATAGAGATTGAAATTTGCCCATTTTCAACATCAGTCACCTTTTTTAAAGGTTAGAGTTGGTTTTCTCCATCCCTCATCAAGTGAAGGTTGTAAAAACACAAGATGTCTAGCTCAACATAAAGGTGCTGCCCATAAGGTGAGTTCTGGTCAATATGCACTGATAAATACATCACACAGACGTTGTTTTAAAGGCCTTTGTTTTTAAGGGGGTGCTTCACACGCAATTAAAAAAATTCTATTTATTATTATTATTTTTGAATGCAGCTATGTATCGAGCCAGGTTCACATTGTGAATTTCTGACATGTGGAGAAGATGGTGTGGTTTTTCATGCTGATCTGAGGGAGGAAAAAGCACGGAAGTAAGATCAAATAATTTATATTAATTATGGTTTTATATGCTCCCAAATTTCTTTGAGTCCTTTTTTTGCAAGAAATATAAAGCCATGGCATGATTAAGCCATATAATTTTTGAGCAATAACCATGACCTGTAAATTTCATTGAAAGATAGACTTTTATAATTTTATATACCAGATGAGGCTTACATGTTATATGCTTGTCTTAATGAAGTTTTGGCATTTATTTTTTCAGTCATAGACTGTTGTGTTTAGGCAGTAAATATGTGCTACCTTGGAGTAAACCATACTACATGCAGCACTCTGCTATGTCTCTCACTCATGTAAATCACTCTCTGATCATAAAAGGTAGTTTACCTATTTTGACCTTTTGCCTCATAGGCTTTTTTGCTGTCGAGTTGAGGAACACAGAAGAGTACCGCTGTATACAATCTTTATCAATCCTCTAAATATCTATGAGTTTGCAGTAGGTGGAAGAGACCAGTTTGCAAGGTGATGAAATATTACCTAAGTTTTAATCTTTCTCGGCAATAATATTGTACTGTATTTTCTTAATTTTTTTTCTGCGGCTAAAACTTCATGAGGGTTAAATCTACAGCACATACATCTAAGGAGGAAATGCATTATTCACCATAGTATTGTACTGTGTGACTCCTCCATGGCAACAAGAGCAATCCATTATTATAAAGCTAAAGGGAATCATGAATAAAAATATATTGACAAGTTATATTCCTCTGCTGTTGAAGGAACTTGTCAGTTACTCTTAGTTCAATTCTGAAGAAGTTATGCATATACGGGTAAATGAATTTGTAGGCACAAATTAATTTTCCAATATTTTTTCTTTAAAAACTGTTTACAGAATATATGACAGAAGAAAACTCCCAGAGGTATGAGAATATTTTTTACACTTGGTTTATCCACTAATAATAAATTTTTATCAATGCTCGATATAAATGTGAAATTCCCTCTTTGTTTCATAGGCAAATATGGAACAATTCTGAAAGAGAATCTTCATTAAAATGATCATACAGTTGAGCCCTGTTTTATGGGTACCCACTTCAATATGGACACCTCGTTATTATGGGCAGTTGCCTTTGTCCCTGGGGAAAGCCCTTTCATTTTCTCTAAATTTAACTCACTTAATATGGACACCCATTAATGCCATCAACAGACACTTGTTTCTTGCCCAATCAACAGGATCTCATAGAAAGTCAACATCAGAAATGCGGACACCTGTCAACTGTTTGCTGAAATAGACCTTTCATTTTTTAAAGTAAACAAAAAACCTTTAGTTGACAGCATCTCAATGTTGCCAGCGCAACACTAAGCCAGATAAGATGATTTTTAGATGTCAATTTCAAACTATTTTGGCATCAAATGAGTTATGCACAGTTTTGATTAAGTAATGATAGATGAGTGATTTTTTAGTTTTTCATGGATTTAGTCCACCAAATGATGGCTTTGTGAAGGTTAGAGGTATTTAATTTGACAATGGTTATGTCCTCTTTGATTTCTTTAGATTTTTTGTTCTAATTAAAGGTGATTTTTGGCTTTAATCACGTGACCCACTTAACCCTTTAAGCCCCAATATCCACATACAAATTCTCCAAACTGATCTCTATACATTTCCATAAAGAATGTGTTGAGAGAATTTGACAAAAGATCAAGAGATGTTCTCATTGTTGATCATTTTTTTAATTCTCATAACCTAGTCTCTTGACAAATTATAGATATCGTTAGGAGAAAATTGATGTTGGTCACCATTGGCACTTCAAGGGTTAATACAGACACTTTCTTATCTATGGCCCCTTCACAGTCCATATTAATGGGATTTGTCTCTAGTTTATCGTGAGTCACTTTGGCTCTTATTTTTGTACCCCTCCAATTTTAACTCTATTTCAGTCTTTTATTGTCAGATTAGATTGTCAGGGAAATATAAGGCAGTTCTAACATGTAAGGTTCTTAGGCTTTTTTAAGTATTTAAATCGTTTACACTGAATGCATCAATGTCATTTGTGACAGGACAATAAGGCTGATGTTTCACCAGTGAAAAAGTACTGTCCTCATCACTTGGTATGTGCTTTATAAAAGAAATAATTTTGTCTCTTTCTGTTTCAGTGTGCATTTCACTGTTGCTTGTTGTCCATATTTTTTGTGCTGTTAGCCCAGTTTAACTTATTCTATTAACCACCTGTTTGGGAAGGGAGTTGTGTCCCTCTTCCCCCTCCTCCCTCTTCCCACCCCCCAGGCACCCCCTGTCCTATGCATTTGATGGGTAATTCTCCCCTTTTTGAGGTAGTTTTCTCTTCTGGTGCACTTGTGGCTTGTGGATTTCTCCCTTTATAAATATCCTTTATTATATTTTTTCCATTTTAAACATTTTTGTTTAGATGGAGAGCAATGACATCTTTGCAAACATCACTTGCTTAGTTTATTCTTACGATGGGACAGGTAACTTAATCTTCAATAATATTCCTTATGTTACAGGTCAAATTTGATTTCAGGTTAATTTTGATTTAACCTAGGTTGATTCTCAATTTCCTTTGTCTCCTAGCCCTAACTCGTGAATAATTAGGGCTGGGAGACAAAGCAAGTTGAGAATCAACCTAGGTTAAAAAATTTTAACCTTTATTCAATTTTGACCTGTAACACCTACATTATTGTGAAAGCTGCCAACAAAGGCGCCTTTGATGAGTTTAAGCTGTTAAAATATTACTTTTAAAAGAGGTTTAAAATGTAGCTGATGTTGGAGAGATACAAATCAACAGATCACAAAATTTACAAGTACTCATTTCTTAACAGAGCTCCTGGTCAGCTATAATGATGAAAACATCTATTTGTTTGATTCATACTCAAGGTAGGTAACCTTATGTCACCTAGTAGATTCTTGTTTCTTTGATGCAAATATTAATTTAAAGCACTCAAACTTTGGGGAGAAATATTGTTAAATGTCAATGTGATATACCATTAGAGATCACACATGCATTCCTATGTATCATTAAATATTTTTTTCTTCAATTGATTAAGCTTAAGTATAGTTAACACTCTTTTTATAAATGCCTCAGACTTTGAATATACTCACTCATTATTTTACAAACAGTCTCAGAAGATACATGTTTCAAAGATGCCAGACTCCTCAAATATGATATCTGCCTTGGTTTATCCTCTATACATCTTCACCCTGGGTCAGGTGTCAGGTGTATTCGGTCAGTACAAAATGCAGACTGCAGACTCTTGCAGACCATTGTTTTCACCATGGAAATGAGAACAAGACAACAATAGTCCCATTGCTTTCTAACCCTGAAAACAATGGTCTGCAGTCAGTCTGCAGTCTGCATTTTGTACTGTCGAGTCTCATATTTAATGATGACTAGGACAGAGTTCTGTCATCCATCAGGTCTTGAAATCTATCTAAAAAGACAGATGTTTCTTTTGACTTTTCTCTTTACTAGCTCGGAAGCAGAGTTCATTAAAACTTACAAAGGTCACAGGAACAATGCCACAGGTATACCTTTGTGAGTCATTTTTACCTGTAAAACTGTTCTTTGTAAACTGTAAAACCCAGAAAATTCCCCCATAGACCATAGTTCTCCTGAAAAGTGATTTCTTATCGCACAGGCTACTCCCCTCCCCTCTCCCAGAAAGTTTTTTACCAAAATCTTTCCGCCAAGAAAAATGCCACAGTTTGGCCAAATTTTTTATCCCTAAATCCTTGTCACTAAAAGAAACAATCGATTTATAGGGTTATATGGGTTTAAACTAGCATGCTGGCAATATTTATCTTCTAACTAGAGAGGTAAATAATTGGATTATTAGGTGTTCAAGTTTTTTTGTAATAAGCTGTTGTCATTTCCAGTCAAGGGCGTCAACTTTTATGGTCCTCAAAGTGAGTTTATAGTCAGTGGAAGTGACTGTGGCCATATCTTCCTTTGGGACAAACAGACTCAAGACGTTGTACAGTTTCTTGAAGGAGACTCCACAGGGGTGGTGAGTATCCTACCATGAAGCTGGGGATAAACATCAGGTTACACTGCAAAAAAGTTGTTCACCCTCTAAATGTCTCCATGTGTTCAAGATTGAATTAGAATTTAGAAATGTTGGTCTTTAAGGAGGGGGTAAAAACCAGAGTACCCAGACAAAAACCTCACAGTAGGAAAGGGGGGTGGGGTGAGGCATTGACGCTGGGATTTAAACTTGTGCCACTTTGGTGGGAGGCGAGTGCTGTTGCCTCTCCACTGTAATACCCTTGCACCCTATATACAGTGATAGATCACATTAACAGCAATTGTCAGATTCAGTTTAACAATATCACTCAAAAGAAAAGTGAAGAATGATCATCGCAGTAAATTTTCTCCCTCACGGGAGATATGAACTCAATAAATTGACCTCGCTCCCAATGTGTGGCTTCATAGCTCAGTTGGTAGAGCAACGCACCGGTAACGCGGAGGTCACGGGTTCGAATCCCGTTGAAGCCCTGGTTTTTTTCAGGCTTCTTCTTTCCAATTGCTTAAATTGGAAAAATTACTGCGATGATCATTCTTCACTTTCATCTACAACCGCAGTTCAAAAATGAATTATTTCATATACTTCACAATATTACTCAAATTAGAAAATGGGCTGGTAAAAACTGTGCCAAGTAATATGAACCTGACATGAAACAATTTATTTTTGTGTAAAGATAATAAATAGTAAATGAAAAGTAAAGAGAAACCTTTGTCATGAGGTACAGATTGCTGTTTTGCATAAATCGAAACCTCTTGGATAAATGTAAAAAATTGTTTTTTTTCCTAGGTGAACTGCTTAGAGCCCCACCCAAATGCACCCATCCTGGCTACAAGTGGTCTTGATCATGACATCAAGCTTTGGGTTCCAACTGCAAAAGAGCCAACATCTTTAGATGGACTCAAAAATGTGAGTGCAGCAGTTTTTATCAGCACATGCAAGCCTCTTAAATGGTATTTGTATTGTACATATATTTTATGTATTTTGGTGGAGGTATAGCCTGCAAAAGCAGACTTATTTCCACTCTTCGCTTCTCTCCATCAAAACAGTTACTTTTCGCATGGAGAGAGGCCATGACGCGAAATACATCTGCATTTGTAGGCCAGTCAAGGTATGACACTGGAGGTCTAAGTCCGTCTACCTACACTACCCTGTCCAGTTACTTAAGTGCCCACTGGTCCAGGGTTAGAAAATTCATCGACAACTGGGTCTGGTAATGTTGTTGTTTTTTGGGGGTTATTATCTTGATGGCAGAGCAAATAACTGGCTGATTTCTCTCACATAACGATTTTCTCAGAGATCTCTCTTCAAATGGCTGGTTTGTCATTGCAGGTGATTAAAGAGAATGATCGCGATCGAGAAGACGAACGGCTTCGTCCTCATGACCCGATCAGTGAACACCTCCTGTGGCTTATGATGCATCACATTAGAAGAAGACAGGTATCATTATCATACCAGCTAAATCCACTTGCTCTCCCCTCCCCACTCCCTCCTCCTCTTCTCTTGAGTCTATGGATAAAATCCTAAAGTGTGACCATTCAAATGAAAGCTACTGAACAGTACTTTCCTGTGTTATTTCTTACCCATCCTCATTTGTAAGCTGTTAGAAGTAACCCACTTGTTCTTAAACTTCCCTCTAGTCAAGAGAAGACAATGGCGAGCGAGACAGTGATAGTGACGACATTACAGACGATGATGATGATGAAGATGGTGAATTGGGAAACAGAGTTCAATGTAGTCCATCTTAAATGTATGCCTAATAACATTAAACTTACCACGATACCTGGGTATCCTACACCCCTTGTAAAAGAAGTTTCTGCTGGGTGTAAGTAACAGTAACCTTATACAGAAAAGTCTTAAATAGTATTTATAAGCATTTGGGTTTAGATATTTGAAAGTATGTTTTGAAAATATATAAGTTAGTGAAATTAGGTTTTTGTTATATTCTGTTAATGAAGGTCATTAAATTTTCCACTTGCAGGCACAGACTTTGTGAGATGTTAAAATTAAATTTCACTCCTTATTCTTAAGATCAGTGGACTTTGTAAATAAGCCTTATTTTGTTTTACATGTTGTTGTGTACAGAAGACAGAAAAAAACTTTTGATAAGACTCTTGAGAAAACTTCAACGTTTGAACCACACTTTGACCTTTCTGGGTGGGAAGCGATAAAATGAAAAAAGGTTTCTGGCTATTTGGTAATCTTTAGTCATCAGCTTGATCAGTCTGTTTTGTTCTAGATGCTAAGGTTCACCCGAACTCTCTAGCCAACCTGATTATTCTAATAAACTTTTCAGAACAGTTCTCATTAGAAATATCCATGTTATTTGTGAATTTCACCAGTAACATACAACTTGCTAGTGTTGGTCCCTACCATTTTTTAGTCATTTTCTATGACTGTTTGTAAAGTGGACATAGTTGTGTGGAGACATCTCTCAAATCCCAGCACTTAGTGCTGGTCCCAGGCCCCAACATTCTCCTTCTCAGGGCGAGTTGGCTGTACAACTTTGTCGCTACAGTCTCACTCTAGTCTGCGAAGAGAGAAGCAACGACTGGAAATACGTCTGTGTTTGCAGGCTAGTCTCACTCCTGGGTAGATGCGCTTTCAGCCTGTCATGTAATGATCCTCCTAAACATTGTGGAAGAAATAATGCATGACAATGCAAAAAAAAATATCTGCGAAGGAGAGATTAATGTCTTGTATGTTGTGTTTATGTTACAGGTCAAAATTAAATAATCCTGAGACATGAATGGTATCAGTCTGCTTTACAGCTGTTCTTTGTGTTGTCATGCAATGCTTCTGTTGTGTGATGACACAAAAAACAGCTGTTTAGAAGACTAGAATGGTATTAACCTGGGACCAGGCTCCGTATTGGGAAAAAAAGGAAAAAAATCCTATTTCACCCTGTTTTTTGCCTTTTCCCCCACTGCCGAGCCTGGTCCCAGGCTAGAATGATATTGAATAAGTCAAATCTTCCAGTTAGTTTATGCATCTTAAAGTATGGTAAATAGTAAATTGGCTTTGGGATAATTTCATAAAGAATCTTCATGAACTTTTTTTTCTTAAACTTGGCAGGTTATCATGTGACTCAACTTAGGACTGACTTTGAAGAACTTTGCATAAGATTAACTGTTGAAAGTAACCATAAAATTTCTATTGTATATAGCAAAATTGTTGAGCGGAAGAATTCAGATCAAGTTTGTAGAGTAGCCTGTTAAGCACAGTTAAGGTGATTCCCTAGTTTTGCACTGCGCATCTCTCATTGCGCATAACAAGATGGCCGCCGTAAAAAAGAGCATGTGGAGTAATATTATTAAAATGAAGTTGACTGAATAGAAACGCTATTGGAATTTTTGCTTGCTGTTGTTTCTTGCCGAGGTGAGACTCAATGTGTTGGGAATGTACACAACGTAAGCAGTACGCTTGTTGCTGAGTTCGACCTCCTCTCGGAGAACCTTGATAGTGGGTGTTTAACTTGTGCTTACTCACTTTGATTTTCATTTATCCACTTTCTTTATCACATTGTGTCCTAAATGTGATATCTCGATGTAAATTCTGTAAAAAAAGATTTTTTAATACTTCCTTCCTCCTTTCACATGCATTCTATTTTGAAACTCGCCCCAGTCCTCTCTCAAAAATCGGAGAAAATGCGTTTGGTGCGCACTTTCTGCAGCTCTACCGCAAAAACGACTACGGTGACCCCCATTTTTTATTTCATGATTTTAATAAGGATAGTGCTTCCTTTCGATGAGCAAAAAATTGGCACAAATCTATGTTCAGTTTTTTGGCAACTTTACTAAATTGTACAGATTGAGCCATCACGGGTCGAAAAGCGCGCGTCCAATTTAATTCTACTTTGGAGCGTAAAGTAAAAACAAGGGCATTAAAAGGCATTTTCTGGTACGTAAGTGGATAAACAATACATTAAAGTCACATTTTGTCTGATGCCACATGCATCATCGAAAAAATCTCTCCTTTTTGTCTAGTTTTGGGCTGCCCGCGGTTTTTGTAAAAGGGTCCTAAATAGCCGTATTTGTCAGCATTGTGACGTCAAAACGAGCACGGTGACCCCCAATTTTTATTACTTTTTTATCATGTTCTTGACTTGTTACATCAGTGTACCAAGTTTTAGCTAAAATCTATGTTAGGTTCTTTTACTATGGAATCACCTTAAGATTGAAATTAAGCAATCTAAGTTATGTCAATAAAGTAAATAAATGTATAAAAATTGTACTTAACAATCTTTTAAAATGTGTGATTTGATTATCTCTCATACAAGATTTTTCTACAGTCAACTATATTTTCTTGTTCCCCTCCCCCTTGGGGGGGGGGGTACTGCCCACGCTATATGGGTATGTGCCACTGTAAAGGGTATGGTTTTCAAACAGTTAACTCTAGGATAGGGTATATAAATCAGTTCGTTTAGGTCTAGAATAGGGTATCATTTTTCAGGAAACTGATCAGTTGGTTGAAGATTTTTAGTGACCTCAGTAGTTTCTGGAAAACAGCTACTCTAAGATAGGGGGGATTTGGGGAGTTTAGTCTAGTGTAGGGTAGCAAAATTCAGCTGAACTAGCTCTGGTATAGGTTAAGGGTTCCAGGGTCCCGGCGGCACATCCCCACACAGAAATTCCTAAAGTACCCCCCCCCGTCCCCTCCCTCCTTTCTCTTCCTGTTGTCGCTACCAGTCAAACAGTTATAAGAAAAATTTGTAGTTTTTAGTAGTCTAGGTATTCCATGATGCTTATTTTGAGGGGCATTCTAAGAATAACTGAATTATAACTGAAGATTCGCAAATTACAACCCAATGGAATGGAGATGACCTGTGGGACATCTTGTGTGGCATACGTAGAGACCACGACAGCCTGCACCCCTGGGTAGTGTCCTGGGGAAGAGTTGAGATTTCAATATGGCTGCCAACACTTAGGAATGTCTTCTTCGAGCTTCACGTTTTTATTTAGTTGTAAGTTTTGACTGTGTTTTCATTTATGGCTTCTTTCATCGAACGTGACGAGCGCTGTATATTTGTGGGAAACATCGATGCTCGCGTGACAGAGGAAATCTTGTGGGAACTCTTTTTACAGGTATCTCAGTAGTTCCGGTAAACTTGCTTTTCAAACCTAGGGTACGGCCCGGGTGCAAAGAAAGTCATCTTTAAAGCTTGCCATTCGGGCAAGCTGAAGCTAGCATATACTAGCCCAAACGTCATTTCAACCAGCCCCAAAAACATGTTGATGAGCAGAATTGATTTCACTAGCTGTAATTCGAATTCCTCAAAAAAACTTCACTTGCCCGTCGGGCGAGTTAAGGACAGAATTTACTGGCCCGATAGCAAAATCCATTAGCCCAGGGCTATCGGACACTACTTTCTTTTCTCACTGGTACCTTAAACTTAAGGCTCTTCTCTACCAGTGTTATCTGTTGCTAAGTACCTTTAAAAATAATGATAACTACAAAGATATAAATCTTTCTTGAGATTTCTCTTTATCCCACGCTTATGCATAATGTGATAGAGGGTTGCAACCACAGATCACCCGAACCCAATACATGATGACTCAGTGGCATTCCACGTAGATTACAGAAGATAGTTATGCTTTTCGTTCGTGGTCGTTTTTCAAGTGGCATTTGCACAGAGAACAAATTAAAGACCTGCTAATTTCTGCAAATTTTCCTGTTTGGCTTTATTTGACCTCTGCGCTACCCCAACGATTTAAGATAGCCCAAGTTACTCAGACTTGTGGTGGCCATCGCATGTAAAGATCTCACAGGAGAAGGGCTCACATGCATTCCATGTATACTCAATGGAAATTTTATGAGGAAATAATTCACACATGAGCAGACACTGCTTGGTAACGTGTGCCAGTTCAGCTGTAAACCTGTCTATGTCACATTTAATTTGTAGATTACAGAAACAATTTGCTTTTTTCCCAAATATTTCAAACGGTGCGCCATCTGTTTTGCAGCATGTACATAGGGTCAATCCTGTCACCCCCAACTCTTTTTGTAGCCTAACCTCGGCCCTGAGAATATGTACAAAAGATGCCTAACCCAAGGTCAAGGAGTGCTTAATACTAAGCCAAAAATCCCTAAAATTCCATTTGTCTTGTTATGGAGCGTGGCAGGCGCAGAAAAAGACAGCAAAACTCCAGAATATGTGTGTGTGTACTGGTAAAACTGGTTTATCCAGTATGAAACTTGTCTGACTCATCCAAATCACAGGATGATCAACAAATCAAACTTCTTGGCAGAGTCACTTCCTCCTTCCCAAATTATCAAGGAAGGATCAAAGTGACTCTGCTAGTACCGTAACCCTGGGTGTGGTTGCAGCGCCTGACCAGTTACCGTAAAATTCCAAAAATAAGCCGCGGGGCTTATACTTTTCAAAGGCCCTTTTTGAGGGGCTTATTTTTGGAGCGGCTTATATTCAGAGGGGCTTATCTAAGGAGGGAAATTTGCGTTTCAAAATTGATTGGGCTAGCCTTATAGTTGGAAGGAAATTTACCCTTTTGGCTTTGTTTTACTTTGTATTTGAGGGCAATTTTCCAAGTACAAGCCCCTGGGGGGCTTATTTGGAGGGGCGATTTAACAGAGGGTTTTTTGCGTTACCAGTTTGAGGGGCTGATATTTGGAGGGGCTTATACATGGAGGGGCTAATTTTCGGAATTTTACGGTATCTGTTATGAGGATTTAAATCATAAAGTTGCTAAGAACCTTCATGTAGTTGTTAGGGTGTAAATGCATGTTTTATATTCTTCTAGGCTGGCCCTCTGGAAGCTGTTCACATTCCAAAAGACAAAGAAACAGGTCGACAGAAAGCCTATGGTTTTGTGAGCTTTTCAGATGAAGTCTCTACGCCTTATGCAATCAGTCTCATGGATGGTATCCCATTGTATGGCAAAGCAATAAAAGTCAATCATGCATTACAGAACTCAAATTCAAATTCACCAGGTAATCAAAGCCCATCAAGTTATGGCTATAACTTCCCTGATGATGCACAGCTCAGACGACCTCTCTTTGATAATCAAAGTGGACAATTTAGCCCACAGCCTATGTCTGGGACTCCACCACCATTTTTAAGAAATGGTCTCCATGGCAACTTTCATCGTGCACATCCCTCCCCAATGGGTCCATGGGATGCTACATCACCATGGCAACAAGGACAAAATTTTCAAGGAAGGATTAGCCCACGATCAGGTCATTCACCTAGTCCTCAATTTCCCCCACTTCTGATGAACAACAGACAATCCAGACATTTGGACTTAGCCAGAAGACGGCGATGAATAGTGCAATAGTAACCTGTGAGCAAGCTCCCAGGGCACTCTCGCAGCGGGGTGGGAAAAGGAAGGAGACCTTGCAACTATGCCTCTGAAATTTGAATATCTGCATCCAAAAATGTCGATACGAAATGCTGATTGGCAGAGATGATATTAGTAATGACATTATTACCCTTGCACATGTTTGTCAATGTTTGTTTACATTTGCACTGATTGAGGAAACTCTGACAGCTCTGTCGACTGGAAGCCAGGATTATGATGTCATTACCAAAATTATCTCCGCCAAACAGCATTTCGCATTGACTTTTTCAATGCAGATATTCAAATTCTACAGACATAGTTGCAAGCTCTTCTTCCTTTGCCCGCCCTGCCGCCAGATTGCCCCGAGAGCTTGCTCGCAGGCTAATCTAACAACTGCCCATTGTAAAACTAGACAAATAGATTTGTTTATCTTTATCAAAACACAGTTCTTATAAATTTATTTTTACAACATCAATGCTGGTTTTCACTGTTATACAATCAAAAATAACAATAAAAACTGACTGTCTTAGAAACCTGCCTGAGCTACTCCACCGTTTTGTGCTTCTGTTTTATTATTATTATTATTATTATTATTATTATTTTGTGGGTGTATGGGTTTCCTGTTTAGTTTTCTACCTCTATTTTGCTTCTTCTTTTTTGAGTTTTGTGGCAAGATGACTACCGCACAGGTTGTCAAAACATCAGTCACTGTCAACAACAATACTCCTGTTAAGGACTACGTTCACCCGGATGATCAAAACTCAACCTACTTTTGAATATTTATTTAAAACAGTTAGCCCTCAGATGTTCGTCTGTCCCGCCTAGATTAGCATTTACTACCTACAGGTCAGAGTAATTACTTAAGTTGATTCTTACAATAATTAAGTTTTGTTGTTGTTGTTGTTGTTGGTTACCGGTTCGATAGATGTCACTCCCCCTGGTCACGCAAAACACTCGTGACATTCTGGGATATGTGTTCACGGGGGTAATAATTAATAATAATAATAATTAAGAATTTATTTTGCGTAGTTTTTCATGACGAGATGATCAACTGCACTTTACAACAATACATAGAATAAAAATAACTAAATGATAAATAAGAATTACATCATGTGTTGTGTATAAAATCAAAAAATTTAAGTAAGAATAAAAAGCCATACTAAAAGGTATGTCTTTAAAAGTTTTGCTAAAAAATAAATAAAAATTGCATAGTTGTGTATAGGTATTAAGACTAATAAGTAAACCTAACTAAAAATGAAAAGTCTTGCTAAAAAGATGCGTCTTTAAAATTTTTTTAAAAGTGTCAACAGATTTGGCCATTCTATTGGCAGAGGTAAATCTTTCCAGAGTTTAGGTAGCCTGCCCCTCTTTCGACGCCTTTTACGCAGGCTAGAGTTTAGGCGCCGAAGCAACGAAAGCACGCTCGCCTATTAAAGTTTTATCGCAGTCTATATCTTGAGTTTAAAGGCTTAATTTTAACAAGATCATTGATATAGAAGATATAGGACGGTGCTCAGTCATGAATGGCTTTGAAAGTTAAAAGTAAAATCTTAAAATTAATACGAAATGAGACAGGAAGCCAATGCAGCTGATGGAGCACTGAAGTAATATGGCACAATTTGCCCTGCATAACGACAAGTCTGGCGGCTGCGTTTTGAACTCTCTGCAACTTGTCAGTATGGCACTTAGGCACACTATATAATAAGTAGTCTATTCGGCTACTAACAAAAGAGTGGATAAGAGACGCAGCTGCATCTATTGAAAGGTATTTCCTGATGTGTCTAATGTTCTGGTAGTGATAGAAGGCAGCACTGCATATTTTGGTAATGTGTACGGCCATCAGAGAAGTTGATCATCGAAGCACGCACCCAAATTCCGCACAACAGACACCGCTCCTACCCTGATAGTGTTAACAGCAGCCTTTTTTAATAGATGTCGTATAGTGTAATTATGAGTAGTATTTTTACTGAAGAGACTCTTTAGATACGTATTTATTGTTATTAAATGTTATGTAGTTGTGTTTTATATTGTAACAAAAAATCTTATGAACTTTTACCGTGTTAAGATAAAGATTTGAGATCTGAAACGAATATCCGTTCAGGGAGCGCTTTCAAATGTATTTCATCTTCGTTATGGCGTTCCCCAGGAATCACGCCTAGGTCCCCGTTTGTTTAACATATATTCAAGCAAAATCTTTATTGTAAGTCGTCACTTTCCAAAAGTTCATTGTTATGCAGATGACTCCCAGCTTTATTTAGCGTTTAACCCAGGCGGTACTTTTATTTAAGATGAGGCAATTAGATCAAAGCAGTGGATAACCTCGGACAATGTTATGCTTAATGACGACAAAACCGAATTTATTGTAATAGCATAACTAGACCTGTTTTCAAGAATGCCGTGTATCTAACTTTTAAAATTAACTTTAAACGATTTAGAGATTTCACTTGTCTAAGATTGCAAGGCAGACTATTCCGGAGAGTTGCACCTCTATAGCTGAAGTCCCCTAAGACCACAGGCAGACGTCCTTTGGGGTTCGTTCGTCACTCATTCATTTCTCCCCCACGCGGGGTAGAAATGAATACGTGACAAACGAACCCCAACGGACGTCTGCTGGGAGGCTAGATCCAGATCAGGCTAGCATATGTTATGTGGGTGTCGTCTGCATACATCCTACGTTGGCAGAACGATAAACAGTTTGGCAAATCATTGATATAGATCAAGAGTAGATGAGGACCTAGGATAATTCCCTGAGGGACCCCACAGCCCAAAGAACAGACTTTGGAAAAACCCTATACGATTGATCATAGCGGAGCCCGATAGCTAAGAAAATTTGGTAATCTATCCATCTGAGAAAATTTAGTTATGGTGTCAGCGTACGACCGAACGCTGACCGTACAGACTCTGGGGAAGGGGTAAGGGAGTCAGGAGTCAGCCCGTCGGGGGAGGAGTATGTTATAGCTGAGGTGAATTTTGTATTTGAAGCACCCCGTTCGTTTCGGCGGTAAATCAAGTGGCCATCCGGACTTTTGGAAAGAACAAAACAACAACAAGTAGGAGTCTTTCTTTCCACTAAATTTTAATGTCTACATTAACTTGGATAACAGGGAAAGAGCTAGAGCGATAAATAAATAACAGCGGAGACCAATTTCGTTGGAAGAAAAACATGAGAATTATATGGCGGCGGTGATAAAATGAGAAACACTAGAGGCTACCAGGGTGTAAATGGGCTGCAGTGAAAAAACAGAGTGAAAAGGAACACAAGTTTCATCCATAGAACGTGTAACTAGGAAGTTAAAAGAAGTTTCACGTTTTAGTCGTGCAAATTGTACAAAAAAGAGTGCTGCACGTGCAAAGTTGTTTTTTTGCTAATTAGCTCCACTGTTGTTGTTTTTTACCGTTCTTCTCGTTGTCTTCACCTTGTCTTTAGTATTACTCGATTTTATATTTTCTTTGAGGAAACTATAAATATTAAAGAGAGCTTGACTTTTAGCCCTGGCTAAATCTATATGTTACACTATTCTCTCGAATAGAGACTGAGATAACAGAGATTGGCCGATAATTATTCACATCAGTTCGCTCACCTTGTTTAAACAATGAAGTCACTCTAGCGCATTTCCAGTCATCTGGAAATAAACCAGAACCTAAACAGTTGAAAATGTTACGTAAAGGAGTCAAGATCCGCACATTCCCAAATTAGTTTGGCAGAAATATTATCAAGAGCTGTTGCTTGAGGTTTTAGATAATTTATTTAGGAGAGAAAAAACATTACTACTACTAATTGGACTGAAAATGAACTTGTTGTTGCTGCTAATCGGCACAACTTGAACCATCAGTAACAAGGAATGCTTACTATATTTGTATGGAAAACCCGGAAATCCCGTGGAGAATTCAAATGGAACGGTTCAACCCAGTGGTATTACCTTTTTCCCGTTTTTACCAAAGCGACCGAAATTTTCGGTACCATTTGTTTGGATTACTAGTGCCAGGCATCATGTAGAGAGAGAGCGAAAAATTTACCGACATTTTGTAAATGGTATAACTCAATCCCGTTCCTGTTTTCGGTACCAAAAAAATACCAGTTCCATTTGACGGAAAATGTTAACCGAAATTTCCATACAAACGGTAAGCGCTCAAGGGGCATCTCATTAGCAAGTTTGGTTCCAATTGTTGAAAAGTGATCACTAAATCCATCGGAAAGCTCATGATTTTGCATAAGCATTGTCTTCAGTTTCAATTAAGGCCACTTTAACTCCTAAGAGAAACTAAAGACAATGCTTATGCAAAATTTCGGGGTGACAAGCAAAGAGCATTATGGTATGTTATGGTATTTTCTGGAGTGGTCAATTGGTTCTGAGTTGTGTTCTTCCAGATAGATAAACGTCGTGAAGACAACGGTGAAAACGGTAAGAGTCTATGCATACTTATTTTCCCTGATTTCCACTTTTTTTGACGTTAAGTTTCTAAAACTGAGTACTTAATGGGTTAATATGTGTTGGGTTGTGTTTATATTGATTTATTTATCGGTGAAATGAAAAAAAAAAAGCGAAAATGTCTGAGTTCATTCATAAGAAATAACTCGGCTAAGGCTTAATGGCGACTTCTTGTTTTCTACCTACAACACCGTCGCGTTGATGTCTCGCAAAGAAAATGTAAAATGGCCAAAACCAACCTTAGAGACATGGACAAAACCATGTAAGAATCATCAACTTAATGGACGCAAATTAATTCCCTGCTAGCAGATACATTTAAACTCCCGTCCAATCTGTTGCGTTGGCAACGGCCGCCGTTTATTAGTTGAGGGGCCTGTTACTATGTCTATAATAGCTTTTGCAAGGTATAATTTGGAAACGTTTTAAATGTAAATGCAAGCTGCCGCTAAAATCGACTCGAAAATAATGCCACAACAACTCCTTTATGTAAAAATCACTGAAATAGTCCAGGTACCAATAGTCTGCTACACAGTCGTTTTTTGTCTCATCGCGCTCCTAGGGTAGATAGATAGATAGATAGATAGTTTATTAAAACTGCATCGCAGCCAAAGGCTGAATTACGTAATTATTTACAAAAACTTTACAATACTTGAAAATTACAAATGAATCCTAGATAATAAGTCGAAAACTGATTTTTAAGATAATTGCCCACGAGCCATCCGAGCGAAGACGCTCGGATGGCGAGGCGGCAGCAGAATAGAGCCGCGCAAGACTGGGCAATAGGCAGAAAAATTCTCGATCGAGCTGAAAAAAGTGTAACCCAATGTAATGTAGATTCCCCTGAGACCAAGTGGTCAGTTGTGAACCAATCAAAAGGCAGTACCTGGCGCACGGGCTCAAGTTGAATAACAAACAAAATTTCACACACTTCCCGCCGTCGCGACTTCCTGTGTTTCTTTACCTAAATTTTTTCGTTAAACCC